AATTGCAATAGTTCCGTGTTAACCTTATAAACACCACCTCAGCCTGCACAAACACACAAGTACGTTGGTGAAGAAAGAACTGAGCAAACATGTAAACAGAGTGTGTTTGAACGGTACCTTTATCTGTTTTGAAGACTCCATTAGGCTAATTAAATTAGAGCTTAAACAGGGAGGATATTACCAAGTTTGTCACTAAAGCCATTACACCACAGCTGAGAAGTTGACTGTAAACAGAGGCTGTGAGTGTGTGGGTATATTGGTTCTGGTGTGATAACAAACTGTGCTGAATTTATGCTGCACTTAAGCTACATTTTTGAAACTGGAATGGCCGCTGTTGTCGTACAAGGCAAATGTGATTTCATCCGCTCGTATTTTTGTATGATTGATCAATAGATATAATCTGCTAATGGGTTGATTTTATGTCCAGTGGCCTTATGTCTTCAGCAAAAATCTGCACACTGAGGTACTTTTTGAGCCAATGTCCTCTTTATACTCCTCCCATACTTGGCAGCGCACACTCATACAGCCTGATAGCCTGGCAGTGGCTAATGTGTGCAAATTGTCATTGGGAGTCTTTTTATATCAAGCACCAGTGCTCAGCACTTCTTTAGAAGGTGACTTCAGCATTTCTCTGCCTTCCATCTCATTTAGTGTGTAGATCCATTGTTGAATATACAGTATGGGTCTGTAAAGCAGAAAACGCCCTTGTCTTAGACTGTCCTTGAGATTGCGGTTCTCAGAGAGGTAGATTAAGGAAGTGGGGAAATCTTTACAACCCCTTTTTTTTCTAATAATTTCAGCTTTCAGCTTTAAATACCTTTTTTTTTGTACCAGCTATTTTGCCCCTATACATTCTTAAGTCTTAACGCTTACAGAATACTAAGCCCAGCACATTAAAAAAAACAAATGCTCTACAGGCACACAAAACAAAAAGTTACTGAAGTGGTAATGAAGTAGCACCTTGCTAATAATTTATGTTGAACAACAACCTCTTGACTGTTAGAGGAACATCACATGGGAAAAAACTACTAGCTTGTTGTCCTCTTGTTGATTAATTATTTAACTTATTACTTTTAACAAATGTCAATTGTCCAACTTCTGCAAACCCACAACAAACTTGCCAAGGCTGAATTAAATAGTGATTCATTAGATTTTCTTTTGGTGTTGGCCTTGGAAGGAAACTGCTGCTGCACCTCTGTTGACTTGAGTTGTTTATCACAGCACAAGCTAAGGAATGTGTTCAACTTCTCCTTTATTTGTTATCACAATGGTAATTCTCTTTGTGAAGTAAATGAGCTCAGATTTGCAAAGAAGTTGAGAACATCAAGGTACTTCTGTTAAATGGTCCTGTATCTTAATCTAAAGTTCTGTGAAAGAAAACTTCTGCCATGCCTTACAGTTGATGTCATGACTTTGTGGCCGTTTTCTGTGAGCATGAGTGCACAAAGCAGCTGTAAAATACATTTCTGGGCTAAGCAAGAATGCATTCAACAGGCCAGAAACCTTTCTAACAGATCATTAATTTTAAATGCACTGCCTGGAGTCATATCAACTGCCTGCAATAGGGTCAGCATCGTGTAACACTCGCAATCTATAGGAGAAGGAAGATGGGTTTGAGAAAGTGCCCTTTTGACCCAGCCTAATTTTTTAAAGGTTTTCCACAATTTGCTAAAATCAAGCTTGATTATTATGGCCTGTACTGTGTCTGCATTTTGAGAGCCCTGCTATTTAAAATATATAATTTTGAACACTTGTAACTTAAAATAACAGTTGTGGCACAGCACTATGCTTATCTCCTTAGAGAAGAACAAGAACTATTGTGAATCTTGGACAGCTAAATTATGATCTCTTGAGCACTTTGTTTAAGAATGCATTGCAATTTCACAGGAGTTGCTTTTTAGTTCGCATGGATTGTCACATCCAATTACAATATTCCATACACATCCATGCTCCCAGACTTGCTTCTGGCTATTGTGTTTGATCAGGTATACTTCTGACTCGCTTTAGAATTGACTAATTGTGTGATCAACCTTGAAAAGGCTGAAGGGAGCTACCATGTACAATTCATTCCTTTCCCTTCTCCCATGTCGTTCTCCATATGAATGAGCACCTTTAGAAGTGCAGTTACTCACATTAGACTTTTTTTTTTTCACACTTGATTGTTGTTTACATGGCTCTTTTAGAACATACCGTTTTCGAAGACATTTTTCTGTTTCTTTTGATTTTTCTGTGTATGGTCTACATCTAGTGACATATTTTATCTGCCCTGTGATTGACTGGCCACCAATCCAGGGTGTACCCTGCCTCTCGCCCAATGACAATCCCAATGGATTGGCTCCAGCTGCCCCGGGACCCTGCGCGGTAAAAGCGATAAAGATATTGGATGGATGGACATACTTAATCTTTGAATATTTGAGAACTATAAGAAAAAGCAATCAGAGCAATATTAAAGCGATATTTAATGTCATGTAAAATGTCCCGTTCACACATTTTTTAATCCTACCCTTGACATTTTTAACAGCTTTTATGTTGTGCTGAAAATGAAAGCAAGTCGTGCTTCAGCCTGGCACATTGAGATTGAAATGGTATATAACTCACCACCAATAACCCAAACACAATGTCAATGTCAAGCAGAAAAAAATCAACCCCCAAAAGCATTATGTTGATAAGTTAAAGAAGGTAAAATCCGTGAATTACTAAATATGTAACCCTATATTTTTAAATGCTTAATTTTCTTTAGTATAGCTATGACATTCACTGTTAAGTGTGAAGTCACTGTGTGTCTGAAGTGAATCTACGAGGCGGTTATTGGTTTAATGAGCTGCACAATTTTGTGCAAACAACCAGCAAACACAGTGCCAGACACCTACAAACTTTTAACAAGGGTAAAGCTGGAGCATCTCTCATTAGGGTAATGGATACTGAAAGTGATAAAGATAACATATATGGCTTACCATGTCAAGGTCTTACAGTGAGAAACCATATAAGGATGCATGGGCCAAGATTTACTGTATAATTGCATTACAGTACACGACTGCCAGGCCAGTGACCACAGTAAGAGGTATGCATTATATAGGATTTGAATTCATTAAACCCATTCTAAAAATCATACTGCAGGTTGATTGGCTGTTTGGAAAGCTGTAAAAAACAATACCTTTCCATCACTGTCAAAACACATGTCAGTTCAGGCAGGGACACAGAGTTGCAATGGGAAAGTTTTGCAGTTCAGTCTGAAGTCACTCATTTGTAATACAGCCTCTCTCTGAGAAGATTTATCCATCGAGGTGCTTTCTCATGCCAGATACCCAAAAGCATTGTTGGAAGGCGGCCATGATTGTCGTTTGGCTGTGCGCAGGCTATGGCATCTCAAAGCTGTTTCCAGACTGATGTCTCCTCATGAAAATTTAATGAAGAAAGTGTTTCCAAAAAGGTGCCGTTTATGAGAGCGACGGAAGACACTAATTAGCCATATCATAAGCGGGAAAAGGAAAACTTAAGGTGCACATAAACCTCATTGGCATTCAGAATAAGTAGGTCTTGTTTTGCAGATTAACACCTAGCTAACATTGCGGAGAGGCAGTTGCATGTGTGCTTGGAATATTCCACTCTGTACTCTCTCTAGATCACCTTTGCTGCAAGCCAAAAATATTTCCTGTTCAGAGCAATGAGCTTCAGACAAAGCTGCTCAAGGCTTTGATTTTCTTTGTTTTGTTAAAAGAACATGTTTGGAGTAAGGTGCATCGTGAGCTATCTTCTCTGACATCTCAAACAGAAGCAAGATGTTGAAAGTTGAGACAAGGCAGGAACAAGCGAGCGAAAACAACACGGCAAAGACACCTGCCATCATCAAAGAGCTTCAAAGCTTCGCTTCACCTGAGTACATGTGTGCTCCAGTATGTTTTCTTCCACCCTTTGTTAAAAAAAAGTATCTGTATGATTTGTTAAACATGCATATTTGCTTTCCTGCTGAGACTTAGATGAGCAAAAAAGACGGTTAGCTTAGTTATTTTGGATGTAGCCTCTTGTTTTAAAAATAAAGTCAATAAAGTAATTATTTTGAATTGCCAGCAGGGGGCGACTGTCCTGATGAAACAAGAAGTGTTTTAGTAGGGAACGAGATGGGAAAATTACCCTTTATCTATTTTGAACTATTACTTCAGCAAACATTTTCCAGATTACTTGATGGTCTAAAAGTTTCAAGTCTTCCTAAATTAAGCTATTTCATCACTATTTAAATAAAAGCTCCCATTTGGAGTGATATTAACGACAGAGCGAGGAATGCTTCGGGGTTGGGCTTACTGGAATTGACAAACATCTGCCATGGCGATATGTCAGTGGTGATTGAGGCATAACTATATTCAAGCACAACATGGTCAGTTCTTGTTCACAGTGTACAGTATGTTGTTTCTATTGTCTAAGTCTTTATGTCTGTGTTTCAATGAGCTTATTGTTTTCACCTGGCTGCAAACCAAATTTCCCCTCGGGGACAATCAAGTTAAAGTTGAAGTAGGCTAAGTAAGCTGTAGCATTTACTTTACAGTTCGCAAACATAAGTGTGTTTGGCATCTATTCTCCTCTAACTCTCAGCAAGAAAGCGGTTTAAGTTTTTCTCCCAATATACTTAACTGCTCGATAACTACTGAACTGTTGTTTGTCCATCGTCCCTTTTTGTTCATGTTGTGTCCTTGTCAATACCAAATATGGGTAGGAAAAAATGTACATTACTAATAATACATATCGTATAAAAAACACATTTATTTGACTACTTTACTGTAACTACTACCTTACTGTAACTTTGCTTATACAAAGCAGTTTCAACTTTTCTCCAAGATCTCTCTGGTGTTAGATTTATCCTTCATCTATCCTCTTGCTCTGTAGTCTTATGACTGTAATTTCCACTGGCTCTACCTCCTCATGCTCGGCACAGGCTTGGAGGAGGATCAGTGACTTTCTGACTCTGACCTCTGCCACAATATCTCTCATCTTTTTTTTTTTTCCAGAGGACCAGCTGCCCCCTGGTTTCCCCACCATAGACATGGGCCCACAGTTAAAAGTGGTGGAGCGAACTCGCACTGCCACCATGCTCTGTGCCGCCAGTGGCAACCCTGACCCTGACATTTCCTGGTTCAAAGACTTCCTCCCCGTCAACACCACCAACAACAATGGACGCATTAAACAACTCAGATCAGGTAGGTTTCCTGTGCTGAAAACTTCATCTTGAAACAGGGAGTCTCCTTTCTTGTTATCCTCTATCTGCTCTGCTCCCCCTGTTCTGTTCTCTCATCCTCTTCTTCCTTCCATGATTTAACTTCTCATTTGGCTTTTCATTTTGTAGGTAATGGCATTGTTTCTACTATATCCTGTCCTCTACTCTCTGTAAATCCTGGTGTGTGTTGTCTGTATGTGTGCCCCCTTCTTGTCTTCCAGTGTTGTCTTGGGCTGTTGGGACTGTTTCCCCTTCTGTTTGCTGGCTTCTGCCCTAACTTCTGCCCTCATTGCTCACTGCTGTAACTTTTAAAAATGGATTGTTTTTGCTGTTTTTGCTTTGATTTCCTTTCCACTGCATTGGTGCAGTATTTTTTTTCCGATCCATTCTCTTCATTTGTTGTGTCTTTTTTTCTTTCTTTTTTTTTTTTACGATTAATATTCAACATTCGGCTTCATTCAGAATCTGCTAAGGAGTGCACATGATTTTAAACCAAGATAACAAGCAGAAAAGCAAATTAAACTTGTGCAATTGTTGCATTCCACTTCCAAAAGAGGGACCCCTAAACGTCCTTTGAATTTCTTTTGCTTTTGTTATGTGCAGCTTTTTTCAGAGTCAATGAAAAACAGTTAATTCTGTGCAATCAGCCACAGCAGTGCGTAAAACTCCATAAGGCTTCTCCCTTACTCAGTTCTTTGAACTTAAAGCCCCTGCTTTAATGTATAAATGCTACCTTTTTTATTTGCCTGTGATGCACCCTAATATACCCATTCGCCTGAATAAGTTTTCAATATTACAAAACAATAGAGATCTCTATATATACCTTTCAAAGTTAACAAAAGTCATAGCCTGCCGCTTTAATTCCTGGCTAATGGCAACACATTCACATAACTACATGTAAAGTCCAAGTCTTGTATGTTTGACCACCTGTCTTCACAGATTTCACAGCTGTCCTTTGTTAAATCGTCTTGTTAACCTGACTTCCTGACTTGTTTTCAACAGAAGTGTGTAGAACTAACTCTTATTTCTAATGTGCGACTTTGATTCACGCAGTTATTAAAGATTTAACCAAACCTTGTCAACTAAACTTCCATAAAGAATATAATCGTATTCTTATGCTGTCTTTCTTCTCTCTATATTTTTAAATCTACAGAATCCTTTGGTAAGTGCTTAGCTCTAAAGCACACATCACCCCCCACTAATTTTTCATGTTTCCAACAACTATTAAAATGCATGGCATGCATTTTACTAACAGATATTAGATTAGATTAGATTAGATTTAGTTTCAGGGCTAGACACACTTTTCCCTCAGCCGCACTGGTAGTACAAGTGTCCTACCAGTGCCAGTTATAGTATCTTGAGATGATAATCACCAAGCTTCAGCTTAGTCTTGTCTTATACTGACCTTGTTAATGACCTGTCCTCACATGTTACTCACTCACTGACCCACCACTTACTCACTTATCTTTTAACACCAGAATATTAGGGATGGGAAATTTCCAGGAATTGTAGGGAGGTAACCAGCTCAGGTGAAGCAAAGGGAACTCAGGATATTTAAATATGTCTTCTCTTGATCTCATACACAAAGCCCCCCAAGTCTTTCCCCTTTGTAGATGCTCTTCAGAAGCCATGCCACTTCCAAAAATGGCACCTCCCCGTGGTTCACCAATGTACAAATTCTTCTCTCTGACCTATGATTTTTCTATGATGAATCCTGTCTTTCTCTGCCAGTAGAGTACAGAAAAGCTCTTACTCTCTCTCTCTCTCTCTCTCTCTCTATATATATCTCCTTTCTCTTTCCTCTAGTACCTTTATTTACGTACCCTGTTAAATCTAATTTGATTCTTCTTCCAAAGCCCCCAGCCTCTATCTACTCGTACTAATGCTTCTTCTTTCTAATCTTATTTGCATTCATATTATCCACCCAGGTGGTACACCAATAAGAGGTAAGAGTGCTGAACTGACGTTCACAGAATGAAAATAATACAAATTCATTCTTGCTGTCAACCCATCCATTCACTCGAATCACCTCCATTTTTGTCCTGTTTATCAATACCAAATCCCATTTTGTTCATACGGACCTTCCTTCTTCTTCGTCCTGTTTTCTTTTAATTTTTTTTTATAAATTTGTATTCCATCTTTTTGTCTATGCTTTATTTCCTCCTTTGTATTCTGGTTTCAAGAGCCTGTTTAGCTCAGTTGTGATATGCTTGCCCTGGCTCAAATAAGCATATCCAATGACAATTATTTTTTTAAACTATATTTTTTCCGTTCATTTTTGTTTTCTTTTTTGACCATAGCGAATCATGTGTCCCTCTTTTTGTCCAACTAAAACAACCAAGCATTTTTTCCCCCTTAGCTGTTCTTGTTCAGCACTAAAAATATGCACAGATGCTGTGGAATCACGCAGGCATGCTGAAGACAACATTGCCTCTCCTCTGCTTTTTTCTCCCAAAGAATTCTTTCTATCTTTGCAAATTATTTTTTTTCCCATTTCTTCTATTTGCTTTCCTCTCCTGTACCTCTACAAAAAAGCCCAAACAACCACTTTTTTGATAAAGTTTATACGGTGCTTTTTTTCTCTTTCACCTATTTTTCTTACTTTTCTTGGGTTTGGAGACTATTTTACTTTTTGACTTTTTTTCTTCAGGGTTTGGGGAAGGCAAACAGTAGTCTGGCGAGGACCCGATTGCCTCATTTTTGGCGTGTGACGAGAAGCTGGAGAGTTGTTGATGCATAAAGCCTTTTTTCCCTTGGTCATGTGACACCACACTGCTGATCCCATTGGTGGATTTTTATGGGTGTCTTTTGTAGCTTTCAGAAGCTAAAGCAGTGGTTGGTTACTTTCTTGTCGGCTCAAGCTGATATTTTGAATTTTGTCTTCTAATACAAATGCATTTTATTTTTCAGCTAAGGGTTGTCAGAAGGTTGTAAGTTGTGCCGACATACATTTCTTGCCAAGATTTGCATGTCAAACATTTTGTAACAGAGGGTAATATGTTGCTCTTGCCTTACATAGTACTCTAATTAGCATTTTTTCGCATAGACAAGCAGCATTTTTCAATTTTTTGTACCAGCTGCATTTTTTTTAATCGACTTCACCTAAAAGAAGTCCCAAATTACTCTGTCCGGTCAATGTAACACTTGATCTGTGATTGAATATGCTAAAATCATACCTAAATTTCTTTCTTTCGATTGTCCTCCCTTGTTATGCTGCTTTCTTATACTGTAAACCTTTTTTGTTTGATCCATGTTTCCCTGAAGCAGTATCACTCATCCCCATATTGACCAGTCCAGTGACATGTTGTATATTGAAGGGCTTGCCCCTATTCTTCAAAGTGAAATCATGACATTTTTTTATATTGGCATTAGGATGAGTGTATTTTTTAGACCCTATATAATACAAATACTCAGTATTTTTCTCTAACAAAGCCGTCGACAAGGTAAATGTATTATAAACAGAAGATAACTTAAGTCTTTTTCTTTCTTCCTTTGCATTTGACAAAGTGTTATTTTATTTTGCTTTCTTGTTACTTTAAACCTTTTAGGACAAATAAAATATTTGTGTTGCAATGTCTTGCACGACAACCATTTGCAGCTATCCCTCACCTATACTAGCTTAACAGTCTCATTTTTACCACAGCAAGTGGATCAGACTGGGATAAATACGGGGGATAAACATTTCAATAGAATTTAACATAATGGACACAATAACGTAGTGTCTAGGTCACGCAGTTTGTAGAAAGTTTCCGTTCAACTGCTGAAACGCAAGGACGAAGCTTAGCTAGTACTGAAGACGATATATTTGGTCGCCTTGAGGTCAACAAAGTTATTTTCTGTTCATTTTGACTGTGGAAATGCAAACCACCCTATTTTAACCATGCACACTCCACTACCCGTTTGCTATTCCCAACCAGGAGCCCTCCAGATAGAGCAGAGTGAAGAGTCCGACCAGGGGAAGTATGAATGTGTGGCAACCAACAACGATGGAACTCGCTACTCTGCCCCAGCCAATCTATATGTCAGAGGTACAGTCGGAAACACATGTGATCAACACTTGCATGCCTCAATCAAGCATAATTTTAACGATCTACTTAAAATTCATGAGAAATCTTTAAATCAGCCAGTACAGTCTGGGGCCAAAAGCTGTTAGGCCATTGTAAGTATGGTTTGGTTTTGATTTGTTTTTGCACTTGACTTACCTGCACTGATTTGAACCTACAGTAGCTGCTATCTTGTATGTTTCTCGTCCTTCCCGATGATTATCCTGAGCCTAACAATGACTACACTGCTTGCTGTTTTTAGACACTAATTGTTTTTCAAACCTCACTGTCAAAGGTAGAAGAGGGTGGACAGCCCTTCCATACTGGTCCCAATTCTTTCCACAGCAATGAAAAGATCCTTTGTGACCTTTTTTACCCTATTAGTAACATTGGAAGGACAATTTTGATCTCAGTAATTCTGTTGTATACAGAAAAGAAAACTATACATATGACTTAAATGTTAATTCAACTTAATTTCAATTAATCTTATCCATGTTAAAATAAATAATTGTATAATTTTAATTGCTACACTAATTCATTTTAAATTCTTAATTATTTTGGCCCATGTGTTTTGTGCTGATATAAATATTGTTAATACTTTTGACTTTAACTTTCACACAGCAGTCGGGGGCTTTATTATTATTTAAGAACAAAACCAACATTACGTTATTGTGATTCATACATTATACATTTTATCACTAAATATATATTTTGATCGTGCAGATAGGCTCCTTTTATCACTTGATTTTATAAATATATTTATTTTACAATGAGCCTCTGTCCTTTCATTAGCTTTTGTAATCATCATGAAGCATTGATTTCCAATGTGGCATTTAACTCAGCATATAATAAAATTGAATTAATTATTTATGTAAATTTGTCATTTTAAGCTCACCATATGGCTTGTGTAGAATTAGGGTAAAAGTAAATATTCTTTCTTAACTTCAATGATTAAGCTTAAACTGGCCAGACTTTTGTCCTGGACTGTGGGTGTCAGGGAGATACAAGAGGCTCCCTGCACCGTTGAGACAGAAGGTCCTTCGAATTGTTTAAGTAGCATTTTTACACCTAAAAAAATACCTTTTTACTCTCTGTGTTTCCCTTTATCTTCTCCTTTCCTTATATTATTTTGTTCTGCATCAATTTCCCTACATCCCTCAGAGCTACGAGAAGGTTGGTGGGTTTTTACTTTTTGAACACAACACAAATCAGAAATTCATTTAATTTTCCACGTTTTTTTTTATATGTATACATATAATTGTCTCACATTAAATGTTCATGTTCTCATTGAGAATGCCCCTTTGTCCAAGTGCTTGACTGTCCAACAGGTGGTGCATGTTTGCATCTTTGAGGTGGGGTGGTGGAGGATAATATTTGCATCTGCCTGAGGGTCTATTTGCATGGTCAAATCTTAATGCCTTATCATCCCCTTTGCTACGCCCCAAAGTGAAACCTGTCAGTGTTACTGCTTGGTTCTCTGAATGACTCAGAAAACATAGTTGAAATATGAATAATCAAATAATTTCAATTTAAGAATTAAAATAAATAAAAGAAAGTGACAAGTTGTACCAAGAGATAAAAAACTATCCTTGATTTCTTGGTCCCTGTACTACGGTTCTCCATAGACTTTTGCTTGTCCATATAAGCTCTGAACCTCCCTTTCCACACAGCCATTTAAGCATCACTACACATAACATTTCCCTTGGGTGCTCTTGCCAATTGAAGTTTTCCAAAGATAAAAATATGTTAAAGAAAAATCCATTCTTTTGTTGTAATTGGCCCTAAAGTCAAAGCGCCAAGCTGTTAAAACAAACCTCTCCCTCAGAGATTATACACTTCCTCTGACGCCGATGTTTCTGCACAGGAAGTTATGAAAGAATGATGTATTTAGAGCGTTATCCACAAGACTTGACAAATGTAATGATATTCAAATGAGCAGGATAATATTATGTCTGTGGGGAGCATGATCCAATTGGATATTAATTAAATATTGAGTGAGAGAAACGCTGTATTTAATAATGCAAGCAGTTCCCCTCGTTTGCCTCTCTGGAGGGCTGCAGTCTGCATAACAGAACCAGCTTTGTGAATTAGGAGCAGGCTGCAGGAAGCATGTGCATACTGTGCAGTCAAACAGAGAATATACCTGCACAAATAACCATCTTACAGGCACAGGTATAGACTAAAATATAAACAGCTATACCAATTTTTAAAAGCGTTTATTTTTGATGATTAACATGAGCAGTGACATTGACTTGTAATTAATTTCAATCCTAGTTCTTTTATAACAAAGTCTGTCTTTTTCACTATTGCCCTTACTTATCCACAGTTTTTGTATCATACTAATATTTAAATCTACTGTAATCCTCACCAGAAATCCTCATGGTTACCACACCGTCTTGCATCTTGTTGGGGCCTTTTATTTATCTTTAATGTTGCTTTTCCCCCCTAACTGTTTCTTATTTCTCCCTTACTTTGTCCAAGCCACATTTCAAGTGCTGTTACACTGTTAAACTCACCCCCTGTGTAACACCACGGCTTACCTCCAAACCTATTACTACTTTACTTTGTCACTGTAGCCCTCGTCCCTTTGACTCCCAAATAAGCATGGCCGATTCCTGCTCCCTTTCAAAGGGATTCACAGCCATCTATGTTTATCATGTTACAAATTTAAGTTGACTTAAAGGTGTAACTTTTTGGGGGTAATTGTATCTTTTGTGCTTGGTTATAGTGTCTTAAGTATCCACTAGAGCTGTCAAATTATATAAATTATTATTAACATTGCCATAAGTGAAAGCAACTCAGGAGTCACAGATTATTTTAGCACAAATGTTGATCCACAGCTTTGTATTTTAGTAGTGGGTCCAGACATGGTAGTGCTGAAGTGCAATTCTATTTGGTCCATTTGTGAAAAGCCAAAGACCTCTCATTATTTCAGTAAAACAAATAATGTGGAACTTCACTGATATACTCAAAAATGTCTTTTGCATTTTGACATTTTAGAGACGAAAAGCTTTTATAGATGAAATGAAGACTAGCACAAACCATGCAGGCTTATCAAGCATGACTGTGAATAAATTGTACTGTAAGAGTTAGCTTAACCTTGTGAATGCATTTCTGATTCGCCAATGGGTAAAACAATGATATAAGGATACACCTTGATCCAAAGTGTGAGTGCATAACATTTGACGGCCCTAGTTTTTATTTTGAACTGAGCCTGAAAGCACGGAAGATAAACACCCCACATTTTTTTGCGATTTCTCCAGAGAGTCAATGTTTTTGTTTTTTTTGATTTTGTGATGTGACAATGTGAAACGGCCCATTATCTCACATCAGCTGGAAGTATGAAGCCTAAAAGTTGTTTCTACGCAACAACTGAGGAGTGCTATCAGCTGTCCGGCACTTTGTGAAGTTCTGTATATATATTTAGCAAACTATTTTGTGCATGTCTCTCATGTTGTTGTGAACCCCTCCACCATTTGAAGTCATGGATCAAATGTGTTTAAAAGTTTGTTCTAAACATAGTTCATTTCATGAAATTATTAAACCTTTAAAATGATGCTATTTCTTTATTTAATGTTGAACCACCAGTCATTTTTTCTTCTGGCAAAATTCATTTTCTGCTTGTTTTTTTTAACACCATGTTTTGTTTTTTCCAGTACGCCGAGTGCCACCGCGATTCTCCATTCCACCTACAGACAATGAGATCATGCCGGGCGGCAGTGTCAATATCACATGCGTGGCAGTGGGCTCGCCCATGCCATATGTCAAGTGGATGCTGGGTGCTGAGGACCTCACGCCAGAGGACGACATGCCCATTGGACGGAACGTCTTGGAGCTCACAGACGTCCGGCAGTCAGCCAACTACACCTGCGTGGCCATGTCGACCCTGGGGGTGATCGAAGCTGTAGCCCAGATAACAGTGAAAGGTAAAGCTGATTGTTATTCTTTACAAATAAATTAAAATAGCTTACTTATGACACGATTTTCATGTCTGCATTGATTTATAAACTTGTGTGCAGTTTTGGAGAGTGAGAATGTTAGAAGTAAATATCCAAGAAGAGACAACTGGTACTGTTAAAAAGAAAGATATTTACCCCCATAAATGGGTGGTGGATTCCTTTAAGCTTTAGACAAGCCCTGACACCAGCCTATGTGCATTAGATGCCAGATTGAGAATATAGTGAAGTGCTTATCTCTCAGCTGGAGAGCTACAAAGCCACAAGCTCGCAATTTCTGTTAGTAAGAGGTAGGGAGCAGGAGGGGGTGTGAAACGTTGTGAGTATTGTTTGGTGTCCTCTGTAGGCATGGTACTTATCTGAGTGTAATCATATCTACACTGCAGCGTACCAGAGAGAGATCCTAGATTTGTGTCGCCGTGTTCGCATGCACACAAGGGACAGACTCACGTACACACACACCCTTGGCTTTGTTTTTCCTAGACATAACAGAGATATTAGTCACAATATAGCAGTCTGGCAGCGAGCTCCCCCAGAAGCACACTTCAGATGGCATATAAAGACAATATATTGCCCTGAAATCTTTTGCCATGTGCCACGATGCAGGGAATTAAAGCAATAAATTTACCTGTTAAATTATTAAAGTGATAAACACTGGGAGATCGGAGATTAACGACAACAGCACACTCAGCTGCTGAACAGAGGCTGTGCGAGCCTTAATCTCAGGCATTAATTCATAAAACTTTCTTGTTTTTACGATTGTGAACTAGAAAAGTGGAATAACATTAAGACTATCCACCCACCTACAGAAAGCCCCCTTGTGACTTCAGATTTACTGTATATCATCATTATCAAGTGCAATGAGCTGGTAAATTAATGTAATCAATATATTTCAACCATTTGCTAATTAAAATGAAGTCTCTGAGGCCTGTAATGTGCAATAATGATTCTACAGAGGTTAAACTTTCAATGTTTACTCCAATTGTATTTCTGTTTAATATATTCATGTAATAATTGTTATTGCAGCATTGCCCAAAGCTCCTGGCACTCCTGTGGTGACAGAGCGAACAGCCACCAGCATAACACTCACTTGGGACTCTGGAAATCCTGAACCAGTGTCCTACTACATCATCCAACACAAGTCCAAATACTCAGAGGACCTGTACAAGGAGATAGACGGCGTGGCCACCACGAGGTACAGTGTAGGAGGCCTCAGCCCGTATTCAGACTACGAATTTCGAGTAGTGGCGGTAAACAACATCGGGCGAGGGCCACCCAGCGAGAGCATCGAGGCCAAAACAGCAGAGCAGGCCCCAAGCACGGCGCCAAGGCAGGTCAGAGGCCACATGATGAGCACCACAACAGCTGTCATCCACTGGGACGAACCAGAGGAGGCTAATGGGCAGATCATGGGCTACAGAGTCTACTACACCATGGACTCCACTCAGCATGTCAACCTCTGGGAGAAGCAGATTGTTCGGGGGTCAAACTTTGTCACCATCCAAGGCTTGATCCCCAATAAGACCTATTACATCAAGGTTCTGGCCTACACCTCAGTAGGTGATGGACCGCTTTCTGCAGACCTTCAAATCATCGCCAAGACAGGAGGTGAGCCTTGGTGTGATCTTCTTTATAGAGAATCCTTGAAGAACAACTTCCAACTTAAACAAATATTCATACGCCACAATTAGACAAAGAGACACAAATGTTTTATAAGGCCATCTTTTTTTGTTACCAATCCTCATCAGTGAGTCAGAGTTGTAAACTAGAGCTGTAAACACAAACATCTTCAGGCTGTCAACCGAAAAGTGGAAAGTGTTTTACGAGCAAACTTATCGACAAAGAAGAAATCAAAATGCCATTCCTTTCATCATGGATTTGGCTACAACAAACAGCGTCTCCTGAAATACAATGTGGCTCCGAGAGCAATCATTTCTACCTCAAAGTGTCATCTGTGAAAGTATTACTTTAGTGATTATTGTTTGTGCAGGATAGAGACAATTATTAATCGATGTCTTCATTTCAATTGCAGTTCCTTCCCAACCAACCGACTTCAAAGGAGAGGCCAAATCAGAAACAAGTATTTTGCTCTCGTGGATTGCCCCAGCTCAGACTGGACAGGAAAATCAAATCACAGGATATGAACTTATGTACAGGAAGAGGGACGACAAAGAGGAGGTAATTGTTTCCTGACCTGAACCATTCTTGCAAGTGTCGAGGATGAAGTTGGTCTACTTTTTAAGGCATGGTGTGCTGTTTGAAACTAAATTGTGAAGTTGCACCATAAAACATAGAACTAAAAAATACAGGCCTATGACTGAGTAATTACCTTTCTGCAGACTCAACTTTGTGTAGACTATCAAGGATGACATGTCCTTACTGGATAAGGTTGAAAACCATTTTTGTTGTTATACCTTTGAGATTTTGATCTGACAGATATTGCAAACAAAGAGCCTAAAATAAATGGAGCTTGCAATGTAATTTGTCAATCACTTTAAAGTGTGCTAAATTGAGTGTCAGTCATTCATAAAGACAGGCAACATGTTTTCTGTTCTCATAGTAAACTATGATACCCTCAATTTTATTTTCATCATCAGAAAGGGCAGCATACTTGCTGAACTTCCTGTTGTTTTTATTGTTTTTTTTTAATTATTTGATTTTGTTTCTCACAGAGACGGATCAGCTTCGAGCCGACAACAACATACTTGTTGAAAGAGCTGAAGCCCTTCACCACTTATACTTTCCGGCTGGCTGCCCGTAGTAAACATGGAGTTGGAGCTTACACCAATGAGATTTCTGCAGAAACTCCACAGACACGTAGGTCTTCTTCTTTATCTGACTGAGTTTACTCTATTTGGGAAGTAACACATTTTCAAATGCATTCTAAAGTTATGTGTGCTGCGAAAACAAAAAAGTGACAAAATTGTCAAGAAGCTCCTGCGCACAGATGAAGCCCATCGTTTTTTCTTTTTCATGCATTTGAAAAGATGTAAACATTTGAAAGAGTAAAAAGTGTTAGAAAGTCTACCTGCCCATGCAGTATTCATTTTGAAAAGGTTGCATGGACAGCGTACACAGGCTTTCCTGTGAAGTCAGGAGACAAGGTTATAAAAACTACCTCTCTCCACCTTTGTTGTGCAAAAACAGTCTGGACTGAAACGAATAATAAATCTTGAAATATTTATATCAGTGCCCACATCTCAGATACCCAACAGTTTTTTCATGAGTAAAGGGCCTTTTAGGAAGCCTTGTCTCTTGACATTTCATGTCAGCCCAAAATTCAAGTATAGAAGATTTTTGAGACTGAGCTTTCTATGTAGAGAAACAAGACTCGCCTCTCTGGACATGAGAGGGATTTTCCCATTTTATATATTGAGGTTTATACTCAAATCAAATCAGAATCAATAAAGCAGTTACGTTACCATATCATAGAAAGCTCAAAGAAAGTATTGTCTCTTTAGTTAGGGAAATTTCCACCAATAAGACCTCAGATTTATGAAATTGGTCCAAGAAAATATGGATTTTGTACATTGAAGACGTAAAACTAAATCAGGTGACTTGTATGTAAATTCCCCACAATTGGAAAAAAATACTATTGTGTTTGACTTTGGGCATCGAAAATAAATCTGAGGTCTCTAAAAGACCAGGGCAGAAATCAGGTGGGTAAATACACTCAGTATATGTATGTTCTGAGGTAAATGATGAAGTGCATGCCAATGTTATCAGAAATAAACAAATCAGTCATGTCTCCTTGGGAAGTTCTCTGTTGTACAATCAGGCTTTTACCACAAACCAACAGGCTTCGGAAAGGTTGGTGACAAATACAACATTTTTCTATTTTAAACTAGTTGAAGCATCAACCTTTATGTTTTGGATTGATGGTAACTGCTTGCCAAATTTATCAAAGTTGTTCCTACAATCATTTTGGAATGGTTTATCTTGAATTATTTCTTTAGTTATTTGAAAGGATTTTAGGTTTTTGTTTAAGGATTTAAGATTCTAAGAAACAATATATTAGGAAATGTGATTTTTATTTCCCTTTGTTTTTATATAATTTATTTTTTTATGACAAAGGTAGGTCCCATATGTTTAAGCTGTCCTTTTTCCCAGTCAACACCTTCCATTCATCATCCGCGTGTACACCTTTTTGTTGGTCTTTGCATTTTGGTTTGTCTTTATTTGTGATGTTTTATTGATTCATTATATTTTTTATTTTACTCACAAGTCCCTGTGTTATCCTCATTTTGTGTCATTTTATTTCCCTTTTTTTCCCTTTTGTTTGGTCAATTTTACCATCATCACCCTGATCAAAACAAAACTGAAACTCCTTTAAAACAAAAAAATCAACTAAATAAACGGCCTGACCAAACAAACAAACCCTGCACCTGCACCTGCACCAAATCCAACCCACCCACCAGAACCCTCGGGCCCACCTCAGGAAGTCAAGTGCTATAGCCCCAGCTCCACCAACATCCTGGTAAGTTGGAGGCCACCCCTGATGGATTTACAAAACGGGATCATAACCCAATACACCGTCCAATACGCTGCGACAGAAGGGGAGGATACTACAGCTCGTCAAATCCCTGGCATTCCTCCAGAAAGCTCCCAGTACCTTTTGGAAAACTTGGAAAAATGGACAGAGTACAGTGTGACAGTCACTGCTCATACAGATGTCGGAGCTGGACCGGAAAGCCTTCCACAACTCATCCGCACAGATGAGGATGGTATGTGATCGCTAAAACAAAGCCCCAGCTGCAAAATCAGAACACCTCTCTTAACCTGCCCCGTCAAATACTAACAACCTCGCTTATATCTTCAATTCCTTCTACTTCTCTTCCCCTCTGCCTGCCTCTAATACGACTGTCGCCACTTGCTCTTTTTATCCCCATTTTTGGACTTTTTTGCCTGACTCACTTTGCAAAAGCACCCTTTTCTGGTTTTTACCCTACGCTGCTCAATTTCAACAAATGGTATGGCATTTTTCATTTACAGGCCTCCAACTTCCAGTCCCAACTGTCATTTTTAAACATTTTGAAATATATTCTGCAATATTTTTGAACAGCAGCATTATTATAAAACTCACATTTTAAGGAACTTGACAAAGGGCAAGTTCTGGACAGTTGGAAAACCAAACGATGGAAGATTTTGATTTTTTTGAAGGCCATTTTTGACAATTTTTCCTCGCTCATATAAAATAATCATTTTTTACTCATTTTTCCTGACTCCATAGCCAAAATTCTTGTTGTGCTTCAAGCTTCTGAAACACTTGAAGCCCGCCCTTTGGCTCCACTTTTCTATTTTGACAAAACACATTTTTATTCCATGTTTTAAAAGACAAATCCACTCTACCCATTTTTAATGTTTCAAGATAGGTCAGTCGTCAGACCTTTTTTTGCTGTTGTTTTTTTTCCCCTTACCATTGTTGAAATATTGATGTCATGCAGTGGTTGTTGCAGTTCACTGCACTTTTGTGATTTTTTTTTGGTCACTGCAGTATTTTGCACTACGGCTTTTGGGCAAGATTTTAAAACTGAGGGTGAAGGGGTCCTCTATAATTTGACCTTTTTTCTTCTATCCCATGGTGTTCCTCCAGTTCCTAGTGGGCCACCTCGTAAAGTTGAGGTGGAGGCTGTCAACTCCTCATCTATTAAAGTGATCTGGCGTTCACCGATGCCAACCAAGCAGCACGGTCAGATCCGAGGGTACCAGGTGCACTATGTCAGGATGGTTAATGGGGAGCCCACAGGACAGCCAGTCATCAAGGACATACTGATTGATGATGCTCAGGTAAAACTACTCAGCCAGACACCTCCTCTCTAAGACATTTAGTATTGCTTTCTCTGTCTAACATTTACATGCATTACAGAAAAGTATTTTTTTTTGGAATTGGAAAGCTAATTTTTTTTTTTAAGATTTTATAAAAAAGTCTACTGAAATGGTAAAGAAGGCATTAATCTGCTCATTGCTATTTTTTCTAAGTATATCTATGATAAAATAAATTGCTCTGTGGTGGCAGACGAACTGTGTGTATATTTTCTCACAAGTGATTATTGTCTCTACTCAGCCTTATTTCTTCTCTTGTTTCTCTCCATATTCTCATATCATAATCAGTGGGAATATGATGATTCAACTGAACATGTGAGTAGTTTTACGTGTCAAAATGACAATCTTGTTTTCCGCTGCTGTCATCCTCTGCATGAATGGCATGTGGCTTTTCTGCATTTAGGGGTTCAAAACTTTGTGTATACATAGGGACTATATTAACTTAAGATGCTTACCATTAAAACTTCAGATGGAATCCTTGGGTAATATTTTAAGAGAAAGCCAAGCTAAACATAATTTATCTTTATTTTACCTTTGAAATGTAAAAGTCTTTACTAACTTACTTTTGCTGAGCACATCCCCTTTTTTAACAGACGCATGCCTTATCTTTAGTTATATCCTGAGAGAATGTGTTTGTTGTGCGCTTTGTGATGATTATGTTGATCAGACGTCACATCTTACTTTTACTTCTCTGTGTGCTTACATCTGCATTTCACGCTGCGAGTGTCCTGCAACTAAAGTCCTGCATCTTTACAGGAAATGATCATCACAGAGCTTCAGGCTGAGACCACATATTCAGTTACTGTGGCAGCCTATACGACAAAAGGTGACGGTGCACGTAGCAAGCCCAAACTGATCACCACCACTGGCGCAGGTAATGCAACAGTCATCGATGACATAGAAATGTTTCCTTTGTTTTTTTCTGTTTTGGATAATAATATTGATACATCGACTAGAGTATTGGCAGCTTTCCCTTTTATACAAGTGCAGTTAATACCTATACATGCTATTGGTGGAAACAGATTGCTTACATTGAACTGATTTTGATTAACACTCTCTGCTACTACCACACTGTAGTTGTTCATTTTGATCACAACATAACAAATGAAATCAATTGATCTGTTTGGGTTTTTGGATATGGTGTCATATAATGTATTGACTGGCATATTGTCCTAGATATCCGGAACCACATTTTGGAGATAGATACTGGTTACGACCAACTGACAAATCTCATGTTTCTCTCAGTTGATGTATTATATTTTAATATTGAAGTGCATTTCTGCTCTGTAAAGAACCGAAGCCATCAAGGAAAAAGGCACCGGGCAAGCATTCATGTCAGTTACATTGTAAAGTTTGAATGCAGTTAATTGCTTTCTCATTAAGTGCAATGGTTCTTGTGCTGGAGGCAAAATGCTGGATGCATGTAAAAGTTATGGAAAATGTAGAGTGTGAAAGTAATGATAAAAATGGACACTTAAAGTAACCTTTTTTTCATCTCTGTAGACAGTAGATTCAATACGTATATGACACAATGAAAATGTGGTTCTCTCTCTTCATAACAAGTTATCTCTTTCTTCATTGGTGATGTCATAGTTCCTGAAAAACCCCGGCTAATGGTTAGTACCACCAACATGGGCACAGCTCTCCTCCAGTGGCATCCCCCAGCACTAACCCATGGTCCCCTGCAAGGCTATCGCCTCCGTTTTGGCCGCAAAGATGTGGATCCACTGACAGTTATTGAGTTCCCTGAACGAGAGAACCACTACACTACCAAAGAGATCCATAAGGGAGCCTCATACACTTTCCGCCTTTCTGCACGCAACAAGGTGGGCTTTGGCGAAGAGACGGTTAAAGAAGTCACCACGAATGAGGATGTCCCAAGCGGTTACCCTCAGATCATCACAGCTGAGGGTGCCACAACCTCAACCATTCAAGTTAGCTGGCAGCCTGTTTTGCTGGCAGAACGAAATGGCCAAATAGTGAAATATGCTCTGCAGTATAAGGACATCAACAGCCCACGTAGTCCCTCAGAACTCTTCATCACCGCCCCGGAATCGACAGTCATCCTGGACGGCCTTAAAGCAGATACCACTTATGATATTAAAATGTGTGCCTTCACCAGCAAGGGCTCTGGTCCCTATAGCCCAAGTGTCCAATTCAGGACACAGCCTTTGGATCAAGGTAGGACCAGTCCCTAAACCTTTTTAGCCCTTTCCCTTCTAAGCAACTTTTCCAAGCGAAGCAATTTCCAACCACAGCAGCTTCCTCTAAAGCCTCAAATGTCAGAAGTTGACGAAGGACTATGCCATTAATATTGTGTCCTATCCCTAGTCCCCCTTAACTTATCAAACATTTAAGAAACTCATATGGTGTAAGTATTTTTGTTTATTTGTGTCTTGTCAGTCGAGCAAAGGTCAGCCATTAATTTAAGAGTTGGTGTTGGTAAGAAGGTAAGAGGACAGTGTTGAGTTCAGTGTAGTATTGATTTCAGCCTGGTTTTGAAGGAGAATTTCTCAGGTAAGCACTGGCTTGGGACCATTGGGGTAGTCAGGCAAAAAAAAAAGGATGTTTAGTGTCTAAATCAATTGCTCCCCCTTTCTTTTAGCAGTGTTTGCAAAAAATTTTCATGTGAGAGCTGCTATGAAGACATCAGTGTTGCTGACCTGGGAAATCCCAGACACCTACAATCCGGCCCAACCTTTCACTGTGAGCACTAACTAGATAAATCTAAAATTTTCAGATGCATTGCTATGACACAAAAATAAATTCAGACAACATCCACAACAAAGGCATCAATGTCTGAAACATCAACTCATTTGCATGCAGATCCTTTACGATAATGGGCAGAGCGTGGAGGTGGATGGGAAGTTAACGCAGAAGCTGATCACGGGTCTTCAGCCAGAGACACAGTACTCCTTCCTCCTCACAAATCGTGGCAACAGCGCTGGAGGGCTGCAACATCGTGTGTCCACCATGACGGCCCCAGATATTCTCCGAACCAAACCATACCTCATTGGGAAGACCAACTCAGACGGTATGGTGACTGTAGAGCTACCATCAGTGGAGACTTCTGAGAGAGTGAGGTGAGTGGACACAAACTAAAGGAGATTTCTAATTGCATCGACAAGAAATTGTCACCTTTAAGTAAGGGTCAAAAATGTTCAAACAATTATCAACCAAAAGCACTTTCTCAGTTATATCAAAATACATAAGTATGTGAATAACAGCATGGTGTAAATGTAAACACACTAAACCCTGCCTCAAAATTACCCCAGAGATGAAGCACTGACCTGAAGTTCCATCTCTCAGTTGACTGATTTTCCAGATTCAAGTGCCACCCTGCTTGTTCTTGCCAACTTGCATCCAGCATAATATGATTTGACTTAAATGGCTCTTTTTTTTAAGACGTGCGTCTTGTAAAGACATTAGTATAATGCAGTGGAACTCTCTCTGTCTGTTGCTGATGTCTACATTACTGTCCTCTATTTCCAACTGATGCATTGTGAATGGAAATAAACAAGTTGACTTGATGGCTGACCTTGCCAGGGATACTTCTTCCAAAATAGCCTTTTATATTCATCACTACTTTTCAGTGTAATATCCACTTTACCTCAGTCATTACATAGTAAAGCAGCTCTACTCATTTAAGCACACTCCTCTAAGCCCTGTAAAATCTCTTACAGCTTGTCAACAAAGCCCAGTGTTGTCAGAGGGCCAAGGAGCACATCCGATTGTACACTGAAGCTTCAAACCCATCTTGGGTTTTCTGATCTTGCTGGATGCACTTGGCCCACTGTCTCCCATGCCAGAGCTTAAGCTAATTAGGTTCCCATTAGCCTGCCACACTGCCTTCCTGGCTAACACTAGCTAGTACAGTGGCCAACCAGGAAGCCCAGAACACTCTGGCAAAGGCCGTTATGTCTCTTGCCACTCTGATATAAGGATGAAAATCCCTCTAATTCTGTATCTCTTCTGCATTCACAAAGGTCTCCTAATTAGCCCATGGGGGGCCACAAGTGAGGTGAAACTGTATTGCTTAACCTCTCTGAGCATGATTGAATTCAACAGCAAAAAGAGGGGAAAATAACCCTAATCATGTTGTAGAAATGAATAACTTTCAAATGGCATGATTATGCGTCTTAGTTTCTGGGAAGCAGACGACCCTTCCGAACACTAGTTGAGATTGTCTGAGCTCATTTGTTTCTTCATCACAGGGATTGTTTTTGTCACAGAAACAGTGACCATGTACTTGCAAATAAAATTGGTTACGCTGTCTTTTTTTAAAGTGGCTTTGATCGTTGACCTTATCTAGTATGGTAATTTATCGCACTTTACATTTTATTTTCAGGGGATATTACATTGTGGTAGTGCCTCTGAAGAAGCAGCGCACTGGCAAGTTCTTCAAACCCTGGGACAATCCCGACGAGATGAATTTGGAGGAGGTAGGTTCAAAGAATGAGCTTCTTAAAATGACACAGGGAGCTAGTTTTCTATTATTTAGATATTGCAGTTTCTCTTAAACATAGCATAGGTAACTGTGTGCACATAACTCACTTTTCTCAAAAGTAGAAAAATAAGTTGAGGCAGTTAAGAGGGCAGGAAGAACAGGAGATGAGTCTCACTGATTGACGCAAATAGCTGCAGAGAGCACTGTTCATATGGAAATGAGAACATGAAGTAGCCATCAAGTACACTGCAAACTCAACCCCCATCCCCACCTCCTCCTCTTCCTCTTTGTGTCTGTGGTAATTACCTGAAGAGATGCATCAGGCCTTGATGTCTCTTCTCATTCCAAGCAAAGCGAGGCTCCTATGACTATCCACTAAACACTTGACAACTTTTATATTTAGCCCATTGAGATAATTCAGTTATTCTGTGATATTGTTTTATTGCAGGTGTGATTAAATGCATGAGAAAGTTTTATCACTATGACACTGTTTTTACATTTTAGGTATTTATTTAGATAGATTGTCATACATTAAGTTAATGGGTGAACATTAAGTGCAGCATTAACGATGAGCTTTGTCACAGAGATGCGTCCAAATGTAGTTCACAAAAGGGTATTCCCCTAAAAGGACACAAACGTTTGAAATTCTGGCTAGACTATATCTTTCCAAATTAGGCAACAAGCCTAGAAAGGATTATCATGATAGTTTGAGTTTTGAAGTATTTATTTCTCCTGTATAAACTTCCCAACACATCTCATGTTTAGGTGGCCAAAATAAAACAAACCATGTCTCATCTGGCATTGGCTTTACAGCCCAAGCCTACAGGCCCATGTCTGCAGCCTTGACCGATTGCCCAAATGTCGCCCCTCTGTCAGAATTTATTTGTTTGTCAATACTGGCACTCACCTTTTCACAACTTTTCCCAAGGGCAGCGAGATTTAGCCGTGTTGACAGCAGAGATGATTGAAGACATTATCGGGCTGCACCAACAGCCCCGCAGCCAAAACAGAGCACACATGCGAACGCACACACTCTAATGTGAATGACAGGCGCACACAGCACACACATACTCATCAGTGCACACTACTTAGAGATATGATATCAGGCCACCTAACTACTAACCAAGCTTGATTACCATAATTACAATCAGCGCTTTGCACTGGAAGTTTAAGGTCAGATGGTACATGTTTGTATGAAGGTCACATTAGATAAGAGTCTATGAGCAATATTATCATTTATGGTTTTGAGGTCAAACATGTTTTTTTTTTTTTACTGTAATACAATTTAGCAGGGCTAGCTGGAGAAGATCTGTATGATATAATTCCATACCTTAACCTACGGAAAAATATAGTGTTCATCTTTTGAGAAATCCCCGTCAATATTATCTTTTTAGGATGTAGTCTTAGTAAATATAAATTCATTAGTAGGCATAAAACTTAATATATCCTAACTTTTCATACACTGCGTTCATATTTCTGAACAAATTATGTGAAAAACAACCCAATCTATCAAATATTCTCCCCAGAATCCACTTCAGTCTCCATCTGGTCATCTCAAATAATAATGTTTGATTGTATCAACAGAAATAATAATTGAGCTCCAAGACGTAAATTAACTCAGTCTCTGTTTTACTGTTGGGCACTGTTGGATAATCCTCAAATGTTTTGTCTGCTCAAAATGCACACAATCTTCTTATTTCACGAGCTTTCATTAAAAAAACAACAACAAATGAAACAAGTCATTGATCTTTCTGAAATGTTCTGCTTCTTGCAATCAGCATTTTCGGCTCAGCAATCAAAAAGGAATCGAGATAGACAGATTTGGTTTGTGTAAATGTGTATTCATGTGTGTCCCTGTGTGTTATCAACTGTCTGCTTCTTTCTCCTCACTGTAGCTGCTTAAGGAGATAAACCGAACAAGCAGAGGCCTTCGCTTCCTGAGGCAGGCAGAACCCAAAGCCTACATTGCTGCTTACTACAAAGACTTGCCCAAAGAGTTCACCCTGGGAGACGGCAAGATCTACGGCGACTTTGAAAACAAGCAACTGCAAAATGGCCAAGAGTACATTTTCTTTGTGCTTGCGGTTCTGGAGATGTCTGAAAATGTAAGTCTGATATACCGTGTGCGTGTTATCTAATTTTTATTTGTATATTAGTCATGTTTAGATTAATACATGAAGGTTCTTGCCTTTGGGTTATCCCGCACCACTGATCTCGTGTTCTTTGTGCTATAAAGAGTACATGTCAATAGACAGAGTTGCTTAAATCAACTGCATTGTGGAGGGTCGTGGTTTAGTTCTCGTGAGATGTTTTCTCTGAGCCCTTTCTAGGCTTTGACTTGAAAACTTAAAGCTGCAGCTGGCCCCGGGAAGTTGACCCTTGCTGCTTTAGGGAGAGAAACCCCTTAAGACCTTCGCTGATCGCACAAAAACCTCGATAACGCAGCTCCTCTTTAATTGCGTCGTACGTGCGGTCCACCTTATCTCCCCCGCTGCAGCTCATGTGTATGTGTGCATATGTCTGTCTGGATGGCAGACTAGAAAGCGGCATGATTAGGCAGCTGCAGGCGTGATGATGGATTTGATGAGCTGCAGGGTCTATAGTGCTGCCTCGCACTCTCTCCGCTAACCCCGAGTTCAGGTAGAGCAAAAAAAACGATAATGACGGACGGAGGGAAATCTCTAATTTGCCCACTGAAGCATATATTTTCCTCGCATAAGACCTTTTTTTTTTTTTATCTCCACTTAGAATGTGAAATAGTTCAATCAAGGCTCCTGTATAGAAGAGATATTGAAGATCATTTTGATTGGCTGAACTGCAGCTTTGCAGAAATTGCACGGCAAAACTTTGAATTGGCTTTCAATTTGGATTGTTGGTCATGCCGTCGCTGTTGGAGAATTTTAAGATATGCTCTTCGGTAGGGCCTACATTAATTGAAGTATTGCAGTATAGTGTTGTGAATGTCTTGAGCTGCTAGGATTAGTCTGCATTTACAGAATCCTTAAGCATTCAGGTTCAGGTTGTAGTTGTTACTTGACATGGAAAAAAGTGAAACATAAGAAAGAAAATATCTTCCAAAAAAAAAGATAAACAGATAACATTTTAAAGGTCAAAAAAAGAGGTATAGAACAAGAATCTAATCTAGTCTAATAAGAAAAGGCATAATGTTGTATGCAGATTTGAGTAAATACAATAATCAATTACTCTATTTTCCTTGGCTCAGATCTTGTATGCCACAAGCCCCTACTCAGACCCAGTTGTGTCAGCCGACATCGACCCCCAGCCAATCATCGACGAAGAGGAAGGCCTAATCTGGGTGGTGGGCCCTGTGCTTGCAGTCGTCTTCATCATATGCATTGTCATTGCTATTCTTCTCTACAAAAGGTGAGGAAATTAAGTTATAACATGCTAATAAATTCTAAAAGATAAAATAAAGCAAAGGAATTGAACTATTTCAGCAATGACCATACATTCAATATTAAAGTGCAAATAATGTGTTTAAATGCAATATATGTGTATTTAACATTCATGTATAAAAACTGAACATTTACGTTGGACAATATTTAACACTCATGGCACCATGACTCTACAACACAAAAAAACTTTAATTAACAAATCTAAATGCAGACACTAAATGCCAGAGTTTAACTTAAAGCGAGGCACACTGATCTCAGACTCTCACAGTACACACGCTCTTAATCTCAGACGAGTAAATCCAAGCAAACAGCAACCAAAACCACAGTCAAATGAAGACGCCCACCATCCCTCACAAAGACAAATGCATTGACTGGTAGTTAATCAGACGCATCCATCTCCCCCTGCACACACAAACACACACTAACAAACACATGTCAAACTAGCAAACACTTGCAGTAGTGCACCCTAACACTGAATCAGAACAGTCTTTTGGTCTGAAAACCCCTAGTGGCAGTGAGACCTCGAGCTGTCAGCGCTCATCAGTCAAGCGTAGGAGTGGGGAGCTTTGACTATCTGCTACATGTCACTGCATGTATGTTCAGTTTTAGAGAGGCCCTGGGGCCTGGGCCAGAGTCCCATCAACCCCAACCCCTTCAATTGTACCACTACCTATTCCACAAGAGAGAAAAGCTCTACCCTGACTCTGACCTTATGTTGTCCTTTTGCTTAGCCATGTCAAACACATCCACATATCTTACATGTTTGCATCCCTGAACTGACTTTTCTGTCCTTCGATATCCTACATCCTTTTACATAAGGCACACTGCCTGTCAAGTTTATTCAATCAAATGTCCAGAATGTCCCTGTAGTCTTTCAGTATTTTTTTTAAGTAAAGAGGAAGCTATTATTGGGAACAGTTAAAGAAAAACACTGAAATCAAAAATGAAGGTATAATGTAGGACTTTATCCTGGCTCTCTCAAACACATTATTCTTCTTTGATTCCATTCATGTCACTGCTTCGTAAAGGAAAATGCAGTGCATAACCAGGAGATATTTATCTTGTCAAGATCAATTTTTATGTGACAGAGTGCTCCTTTTGTGAAAAACAAAGGGCAACAACTGTGTTCTGTTGAGCTCTGTAAAAGGACATGGGGATATCAATGTGCAGCTTCATCAGAGAGAACACAAATCAGATCAAATCACCTACACATAGAAAAATGTCAAGTCATGTATGCGTCAAGAGCCACATATTGTTGTTTTTCTTTTCAAACTTGCTCAAAAAGGTAACAGTACATGCTTAATTAATGCACAGTCATTCAAAATTAAGATCTCACATCTTTGCATTTGTAATAGCCCATGCATATACATCTCTAATATGAACATTTTTTTATTTTAATAAATGCAACAATGGAAGGCTGAAGCAATCGAGTGCAACAGCTTGAAAAAGCAGAGCTACAAAGTACAAATCTGTGATGCACCTGTGAAACTGTAGTATTTGAAACAAAGAGTCCCAGGGTTGCATAATTAGGCTTAATCTCTGGAGTATAGAATCACTAATCAAGAAAAAGTCAACACAAGCAAGATGTGATTGGTATCGTTTGTCTCGTATGTAGTTAGTCGTTTACTTATGTGCAGGAAGATTTCTGGAATTCTCCATTTTTATAAGGGTAAAGGTCTTACCACCTAATGTTGTATCAATATCTCTTTTCTTGCTGACCAATGGAGCAGCAAACCAGACAGGTAAGAGTGAGAAAGAAGTAGAGGAAAACTAATCCCCTTTAAACCCTTTTGCTCCCGAGTCTGTTCCTTTTATATCTAAACATAAACAAGTTTGTGGCCCACTGGAGCTCATGTCAATTGTGAAATCATTCTAGTTGCTTAATGACAATTACGTAAAGTATGCAAAAGATGTTACATGCAGTAAGAAAAGCAAGATTGTTTGGACCTTTTCTACTACTAACAAACTTTAAATGTATTATGAATATATATTCACAATGATATCTTATGTAGTATATTTCTACTACTGGTAACTGCCTATAAATGATGTTATCCATCTCAATGACTAGTTTGTAAGAAATTTGTTTGAATAAAAATGCATCCCCATATGAAACTGAACGATGATTTTAGTGGGGTTCTTTTTTAAAGGACTCGCTTCAAATATGAATCTAAAAAGTTACAACACAATTGTCAAAACACAAAGAATTACAATAGAGTGGATTTAATAACAAGAAAGTCCCGCAACATTGTACAATCCACAGCAATAGTGCTGTAGTAAATGATACCTTCTTTAAATGCAGTACAGAACAAGGGGACAAAATAAAGCAATGTAAATCCCACCTTCTTACTATTGCAGTTGAAGTGACAGTCTGACACCAACTTTGAAAAGTGAACATTAGGCTTCACTAAAGCTAGTATTTAATGACAAAGACTATTGTACTGGATTGTATCATACTGTGAAGTGATGGTGTTTTTTTAGTCCAGCCCTGTAGCATTATGTATTGGAAGAATGCTGTCTTGTCACCTCCTTAATTACATATTAGCCTGCTGTATTTATTAGAGCACAAGGAGGGCTTTGAGGTTGTAGAGTAATGAAAAACTGTTAACAAAAAAAATGATTTTGAATAAATACAATGTCCTATCTGTTCTGCAGAAAAAGAGCAGAATCTGAAGCTAGGAAAGGCAGTCTCCCCAACAGCAAAGAAATGCCCCTGCATCATCCAACTGACCCCGTTGAGCTTCGACGTCTCAACTTCCAAACACCTGGTACGTAGTCCACATGAAGTTAGTGATGTTCATGTCCTCCACTGTGAATTTACAACTGAATGTGCACTGTGAAGAGGAACGCCAACGCTCCAGATGCTTGTTTAGAATATAAAAAGCAGAATCATAATTAGCTATCTATCATCCATTGTGTGTTCATACGCTTCCATTGCTAATACCATGACGTCCTTACAAATGACATGCCATTTTTTTTGCAGTGAGATTAGCATAAAACAAGAGAGCGGTTTGCAGGTAGACGGTGGACAGGTGCTTAGAGCAGGCACAGAGGGTCAAATCTGACAGTTTCCTCCCCGGAGACACTTCTTAGTTGGAAAATGAAGAGGCAGAAATGCAAGCTTGACAGTTTCATGGCAGCTGTCGTCTTCCTCTGCACCTGCGTTATCGAGGTCATCAAGACCTGTCATGCTTGCTCAGAATAGAGCCGACCTGCTTGAATGCTACCCTGCTGCCAGGACTCACAGGAAGGAGCATGGTGGAGAGGCAAGAGTAAATAGAAAATGTGTCACGGCACAGTGCTCCGTTCTGTACGCCAGCCAATGGATGGCAACACACATTTGGAGACAAGCTGTAAACAAAAAGGGTGTGCGCTCTGACCTTTGATTCAGAGTTAAGCCGCGGTCAGTGGTCATGCCCTGGCTTGGTTGCGTCGTCATCTCTTATCTATGGTGGAACAATGGGAGTCACAGTCCATTTATCACCTGGAAAGGCGGTATGCGACTTTGCCCCCGTCTTGACTGAGCGAGACACACTAAACTGCTGTTTGAGTTGCTCTGGCACCAGATGCTTTGGGACAGGTGTTCACAGACGGCCAATAATGTTGTAATATCAAAGCCATATATTTCAGATCAGATCATATGAAAGGAGGATGAATTATCCCTGCAGGCTTATTTTTTTTTAAAAAAAGATTATGCATATTTATGAAAGCTCTTCAATGATGTTAGGACCATTACTGGCTGTTTCATCCTGGCAGAGGGGTATTTTTCCTTTTGGCTCGGAGTGATCTCAACCATCCTCCCACTATTTTACTCGCCTCTCAAGCCATCATTTCTGCCTCCTCCCAACAGCCTTTCTGAGAGCTGGTATCTTGGCTCCCTCACTGCTCAAATAGGACCCAACATTTTTTCCTCACCACGTGACCACTCTCTCTCAAGCCCTGAAGCACTTCTACATTAGACCACCTCTCTCTCCTCTCATTCAACCCGTTCTCTCACCTCTTTACCCCTCAATGGACATTTTCATCTTAAGGATGCTTGATGTTTGAGTGACGGCGTGTTGGAAATGGTACTTTCATTGTCCCCTAGTGATGGAAATGGATTTTGAGTAGCGGGCTGCAATAGAAACATCCTTTACCGTCTTTCAGAGAGACAGGAGAGTGGGTGGGAAAACGAAGCACAGCTTCCATTAGCTAATGCCCACTTGTGCCAGCAACCAAAATGAAACATCACCTCAGTGGCGGAGGGAGCGAGACTGTCACCAAGCTTGTGTCTAAAAACGGTACCTGAATTCTGCGATGCAAATATTTTGGACAAAGGCTCGGCTGCGACAAAAACTGATCACTTATATTTAGCTATTTCAATTTTACTTTTTCAAAGTCAAGTGAACTGAAGCCTGAAACGTCATACTGCATACAATGCAAGTATAATGAAGTATATAACCATGTCAGCATACTCAAGTTCACATGAATGTCAAATAATATCCAATGGTTGCTCGACTTTTCTTTTGTGCTGCTCGGTGTTTATTCCCCCGCTCTTTATTATTTACAAGAAATAAGCATGCTGGCATAGCCAATGCTTCTAGCATGATACATTTTAAGTTACTAATGAATGTCCCATTTATGATACACATAATCACCCAACTACCTCTTGTCAAATTCCAATTTCTACCTTCTGTTTGTGAAGAAAATAGTCATTACATTGCTATAGCATCTGCAATGTACTTAATTACACCGCCGTTTCCTCCACAGGTTCAGGTGCGTCCAGTCACCCCAGTAACCTCCATTTGTCAAGTTAGTTGGTCTCGATTATGCATTTGACATGATTTGTTTTGGGGTTGTTTTTTTTTTTTTTTTAGCTTTAATTCCCTTCTTTTCTGCTTAGGCTTGTATTTCCATCTTCATCTAATCCATCGGGTGTTTATGCTATGTCATCGCAGGAGGCGGAGTTTGAAATGACAGCCTGAAAACATGTCATCACTCAAAGCAAACATCAACATCTGGCCAAACATTTTGGATGTTATTTTGATTGTTTGTTTTCTGGGATGTTTTTTTTGTGTCTGTGTCTTACTGTCATGCTTACTATCCACGGCAGCTTTCTGAGCAAATAATGTTCTTCTCTCTCAATAGGGAGAGGCCCAGTGTGCCTGATGACTTCTCATTGGCTTCTGTATTCATATTCTCTCTATGAGCATGGCTGCTGCTTTGAGTGAACAAACTAGCCTATAACAAGATCCACTTCTCCATTTCCCCCTGTTAAACACACATTCTGCTTCTCTAATGATTCACTGTTGGCTTGTGCTTGGGTGATGCCCTCTTATAAAGACAGGTGACTGACCTTCAGTCTGTCTGATTGACAGGTATGGCCAACCACCCTCCAATTCCAATTATGGACCTGGCAGATCATCAGGAGCGCCTAAAAGCCAATGACAACCTGAAGTTTTCACAAGAATATGAGGTAATCGTCTCAAATGTAGTTTATTCCACTTCTGTGTGTTTGATATGTCCTTACAGTACCAATTGGGTTTGTATCAAGACAACAATGTAGGACAAAGTATCAGGTAATCATGTAACTGTTATTTATTTACTGCCATTATCAACTGTGCAGGGAAAAACTCAGTGTTGAATTTTTGATATTTTCCTATTTTCCTATCTTTAGTGAGATGATGTAAATGTTCACATTGCCGTTGAGGATGTCATGTTTGCAGCACACTCACTGAGCCTGAAAGCTGTGCGAGCAAGAGGTCTTTTCCTTTCAGGGGCACTGTGTGAGATGGCAACGGTCACCATTTCTCTGCCCATTTCTCTCTGCGAGTCCTGCAACGACTCCAAAATCTATGAGGTCACTATATGGGTGGCTGCCAAGCTGCCCAATCATTATTGCAGCTTAAGTACATTGAATTCCAATTTCATAGTGCTCATTCCAGAGCAGTGGAAAGCAATTTTGCGAGCACAATGAAATAAAGATTTTTATTCTGAGCAATGTTGCAGGCCAGTGTTTCAACATATTTTGACAAAATATCAGGCTTAGGTAGTGATTTGTCAGCAGCATAATGTAGCTGAGGGTGATTCTGCAGATAAAGCACTGAGTCCTGAAATAATTGTATTCACATTGACTTCATATGATTTAAATACCTTTAAACATATGTCCTTCAATTGTCATATTATTATGTTTTACATCATTAAACTAGTTTAAAAAGGAATTATGAAGTGAATTAATTAGCTGTGATACTCCCATAAATTACCGTGAAGGAGTCATAAAAGTGTGACAATATGCAGATAGATTATAAGCAAGGTCAGTGTTGTTATGTGTCGTAGAGTTTCCTATCGCATTAAGTTTCTGCTACTTCCGCTGGAGATTAAGTCATAAAGGTATGCGGTACTCATTAAAAACACAACCACAATATGCTCCTTGTAATGGGAAATGAAATGCCATCTTTCATGTCTTTGTATTTTCCCTTTGTGATATTATATTTTATTGTTCATTTACGGCTGATGAGGGATCATTATCAATCTCTGCTTTACAAAGCTGGAACAAAGCCTGGATCGCAAATTCTGTCTCAAGTAGTCTCAAGTGTGGTATTCTAGTATATGCCGTAAAGTCCAAAAAATTAAATGAGGAAAGCTGATGGAATGCAGGCTTCTCCTTTGGGACCAATTCAGACTTGTGTCTTCTTCTAAATCTAATCATTTATATAGAGACGTTATTTCAAACCAACGACAGCACCTAGGTTACATAGTTGTAAAAAAAAAAAAGTGCTCCGTTTTACATTTAAATATTTACATTTTCAAAAATGTCACTTTGGTTTTTCTCTCGTCTGTGAGATGTTTTCAGGTCTGAACACGTTTTACATGAACAATTCAATTCTGGGTTAGACAATTTTATGATCCAAATCCACCTCCAAAAAAATATCTTAAATCAGAAAAACTGACCCTCAGCATTTATTATCAAGAACATGAGATATTTCATGGTCACTACTTATGAGCCTGTGGAGGAGTGCAGCGTGCAGGAAGTAGATACCGACTGAGATAGATTTATATATGTCAAATGTAACCTATTAAACACCAGTTTGTACAACTCATCAATTAGCTATTTCATTAAGAGCTACTTGTTATCGTCTTCGTGAGAGAGGTACGCATTTAACTGGCAGTGCTAGGAATGTTTGTGTGTGTTTTCTAGGACCGTGAGTCTGAAACATTTGACCTCGAGAGGAAATTATATTTGTGCATATTACACTCTCACAAGCTGTCGAGCTGGAGATAAATTAGTATTTTCCATTTTTACAGTGTTTCTTAGTCACTGTTGAAAGTGACTCAATCAAGACTATCTATTAGAGTTATGTAAAAGTTTATTTTTAGTAAGAGGTACTGTTAGTGTTGAGGCTGCATGAATAGGAGGACAAAAGTGTAAAGTGGGAACACAGGACTTTATTCAATCAAGCGTCTACTTTTTTTTTTTATCTGCTTTTCTCATAGCCTTGGGGAACAGAGCTTGGTAAACATCTTAAGACCTAAAAATGGAAGTATTTCAAACAAACAATTGAAATGAGTTAGAGTAAATCATTAACAAAACATTAAAGACCAGATTTCCTTTATAATTTCCCTGTGATGAAAGGCTTCATTCTATTTACTTTTAATACTGATCTTGCATGAACACCTCATGAGAAACTGCCAATCGATTTGAGCGAAAATAACAATTATAAAGTATCGTGAAAAACATTTATTTTTCTCTTTTTAACAAGTTGTTTTTCTACTTCACAGTCCATCGACCCTGGTCAGCAGTTCACATGGGAGCACTCGAACCTGGAGGTCAACAAACCAAAGAACAGATATGCCAACGTGATTGCCTACGACCATTCCCGAGTCCTGCTCTCTGCTATTGATGGTATGCCACCCACCTACATCTTCCCTCCCAGTACATTTATCGATTCTACAGACAGAAAGTGCAAATGTTTACGTCTCAGACCTCAGGAGCTCCACATTCAACTTTAACAATTCACTCCAACACAAGCATATCAGAATACTTATTTCCCTCCGTGCCTCAGTTTCTTGCAAATACAGAGAAGGAGTTTCAAAGAAGGAAATGCTCCCTGAAACTGAAAGAGAAAGCATTCAAATCAAGTAACCATTGGTGACAACAACCTACAGTGCAAGAAGTTGACCAGTATCTTTTTCTCTTAATTTATGATATTCTATATTAACAATTTAAGTTATGAAGCCAAAGTAATGTTTTAACTTAATTTAATCTCTACACTAAATTGAAAATTACATTTTCCAGTGTGACACAATCATCAACACAATCAACTAGGTGTCACCAATAAACTTACATTTTCAGAACTCATTTAAGATGTGGTTGCTGTCTTCTTTTGAACAGGACTGTCTTTGCAGATAGATATATATATACATATATAAATAAATGTATATACACTTTAAGCCTCAAGCTGGTAGCAAGCCTGACTTGAACCAGTACCGTCGAAGTCTTTGGCACATTAAAGTTGTATTCACAGTACAATACAGCTTCTAGAGAATAAAAGGCTATTTTGAACTGGCTAGTTAAGTGCTGGCGCCGTCACCAGTTTACTGGATTAAACACAATTGCACACGGACACACTGCTATTAATTAACTACGTCCATTGAGCTGCTCCCATGGAGGGCGGAGGAAAGTAAACAAAGTAGTAAAAGGCTAATGTGAGAAAACACAGAAAGACTTTGAGAGGGCTTTTCGCAGTCTCTCAGAAACAGCACACAGCTTGAGTGTTGATGGAACTCCATTAGGCAGACGTATAAAAACATCTGCAGAACCAAACTGGAGCCTTTGTAATACAGCGAGCAAGTAGATCTCAGCCAGGGGGACATGAGGGACTTCCTCTTTTCCGTTTAAAGCTTAAACAAAGCTTTTTTGGCAAGCTTTGCGTCTATTGTTTACTTTGATTGAGTTCTTTGACTAAAAAGGGATTTGGGATTTGACATCAGAATTCAGAGAGAGTACTCCAGAAATTATTGATGTGGGGATGGATCAGAAGAATCTTTGGAATACAGGCCAAATGATGCTTGAGCAAATGAGTGGACTTTAATAGTCACGACTGCAGGCAGCTCTTTTAAACTTAACAGACAAAACAAGTTCTTAGCAGGATTAAACTAGTATCCAAAGTCAATCCTAAAACTTCTTCTAGCTGGACCCTGACCATTTCCCTGTTCCTTCCAAACTCCGTAGCACATTTAAACATTAAAGTTGTGCAAGAGTTCACTCAAAGTGTCACTGTTCTATCTTTAGTCTGAGATGTCTCAAGCCTGTTCTTATTCAATCAAAAATGCTATATTTAATACATCTGCTTGCTGTTCCACCAAGAGGTAATTCATGAAAATAGCAGCAATAGAATGAAATTCAACAAACTTTTTGACTGTTCTGTAGTCACAACAAGAAGAAATCTGAGAAAAAAAAGTGTTCTTGCATCTTCTCAGATACACCATAATTTAATGGGACTAAACCACTGCTACTGCTAAAATTTATAATTCTTATCATTACAATGCTGCACCATAATTTGTTTTCTGTAATGCCTTTGAGATTCCTCTCTATTCTATGAGCTGTGCTGAGTGCTGAACAACACAGCAGCAATGTTTATTCCTCAATCAGCATATTGACAGAGAAAACGGAAGAATTTATACAAATCCTGACTGACAGAAAGCATAAATGCAAAATCCATTTGCCAATGTGCATTAAACAACTTGCTTCATTCTCATTAAAGCACAGTAATGTCTCCTTTTTTTTTTGCTTCTGCTTTTCAATTTCAATAAGCACTGGGCTTAATTATATTTATCCCTTGTCCATCACGAAACATACAGCCACTTGGCTTTGTGGACGACTTCAACAGCAAAAGTGGAGGCGGGGGATGTTTAAGAAAAATAATAAAGAATGTGGGTGGGCTTTTGAATGTGTTCATATTCCATTTCCTTCCTTCTTTTTTTTTTTGCTGGTGAATAAGTTACCTGGGCGTAAAAAGGGAGTCTGGGGGAGAGAGGGGGAGAGCAAGCAGTTGGAGTGAGGGGATTCTCTGATACGTGGCGTCCATGCAGATGAGACTTATCTTGGTGGACCATGTGTGCACGAAGCCCCTAAACTGCCAGTCCTAGAGCATTGACTAGCTGTCAGCTCTGTCTCTTTTGCCCGGATTGGAAAAGGCTGCTGTGCCTTTCATTTAATATAAGCAAGGAGGGTGAAGAGAAGAGGGGGAAATTGTTTTGCTTGTTTTTTGTGGATTTGTTTTTCTCGGTGTGAGGTGATGGACTTTTACAGACCAAGCTTTATCTGTAAGTCAGTTGCAGATATGGAAGAGGGGCATAAAAACTGGATTTAAATGTGTTGTTGATAGAAAATACAAATCCTGATGGACTGTAACACTGGCTGTAAATGTAACTGTTTTTATGCCATTTTTCTATTTAATACTTGCAGAAAACACAGAAGATAGTCTCTTTATGTGGGGGACAATCTGACAGTGTCTCAAATAACTGCAGGGAAATCAGGACTTAGACCAGCGTAGAAAGCAAAGCCTCTGTTTTGTGACATTTATAGTCTTTATCAACATCCTGTCAAACAAAATAAGATCTGTTTTATTTAACAAATCCTTTTTTCGAGTCTCCAAACTGTACACTAACTCGGCTCTCTTCTCTATTTAAGGTATTCCTGGAAGTGACTACATCAACGCCAACTACATTGACGGCTACAGAAAGCAAAATGCCTACATTGCCACTCAAGGATCCCTGCCAGAAACATTTGGTGAATTCTGGAGGATGATCTGGGAGCAGAGGAGCGCTATCATCGTCATGATGACCAAACTGGAGGAGAGATCCAGGGTAAGAGGCGGAAATAAAGAGACAGCTTCATTTTGGTGTAGTGCTCCCTTTCTTAAGGTGTACCCGAATTAAATAACAAGAAGGTTTGGGGATGTATAGCCTTAAATCATAAAAGCAGAGATTCTGAAAACTCTTCAAATGATCACTATCAGTTTGACTTCTCTGTCCTCCTTATCGCTCGTTTTTCATGACCTTGTTAATTTGAACAGATTGTTGTACTCTGGCTCTCCCTCTGTGACTCCACTTTCATTCTTCAGGAGAAGCCCGGTTGCATTCTGTTACCTACTGATATCCTCGATTATGTCTTTAAAACACTTTCTGTTGTTGTTAAGCCCTGACTGATTACGAGCATCGCTCCCTTCATTAGCCCTCCACTGCTGAAAGCACTGGATTACAATCAGTGATCAAAGACTAGAGACTAAAGCTGCATGCAGTTACTTCTCTCTTAAGGTTGACATGGACAAAAGGCACTTTTCTCTTTCTCTCTGGCACATCCTGCAGTGTTTGACTGAGCACATGAAAGCTTAAAGGGATACTTCACCCATTTGCATTAAGCTTTGTATCATTAGAAACCTGGTAGTATTTTTGAATGGTCGTGCATCCCGCCCTCATTTTCCCCTGAGATTTGAAATCTTTGTATTTTCTAAGTCTGAAAAGGAGCTTCCAGTGACGCAAAATGACAATTTTTGCGTCACTGGAAGCTGTTGCGGTTAGCAGGGTGAAACTACAACTCATTTGAGAAAATTGGCCTTATGTGTTGAAGTAAATATGTCAGTAAATGTTTTTATTACTATATTTCTACTGCTATACTGTATATTTTGGAGAAACTGTAACGATCGAATTTCCCTCTGGGATTAATAAAGTATTTCTGATTCTGATTCGGACCTTAGTGGGAGTGGCCTGCGGTGCTGTGCATTCTGGGACTTGGTGTCTTTCATCCACATGAGGCCAAAAAGTCACTTTCTGCCTTTTCTCGGCCAAGAAGGCACCAACTTCAAAATGTATTTCACATTTCTACTACATATGACCCAATGTCAATACAGATTCATGTTTCAACGGGTGAAGTATCCCTTTAAGAGACCCCCCCCCGAAACATATGACCTTTACACTTGTATACCTTTTGTAAGAGGCTGGTGTGGTGTTAACCCAGGTCCTGACTCGATCCAGAGAGCAGTTTTCATTCAGTATCTGTGCAAATCTGCAAAGCAAATAGACTCCTCTGGCTGTTTCTCATCATTGTAGGCACAGTAAAATGAATGATTCATCAATTTAAATTGGAACACACTTGTCAGGTGTCTGTTTGACATCAGAGATGCTTTTTTGATCTTAAATACTTGGCTCCGATGTTAAGGCTTCCTTTGAGACATCCCCTCTGCTGATCGTGTCATACTATTAAGTTGTTTGACATTTGTAGAACATAATGTGCTTTTGTTGCTGCCAACAGCTCCTGTCTTTCATATTAATCAGTCGTATCATTCTCTTGGAAGCTCTCAAGCTGTCTTTTTCTGCTTTGCATGTATAAAGCTTAAGTCTTTGCAAGTAAATGCTCTTATGAATCATCTCATTCCCCCTGTGTCGCACTCGCTCTGTGCTCCTGGTGTCAATGCTAGAGCAGCTGCTTTGGAAATTAAATCAAAGTAAAGATTGTAGGTATTTGAAATTACATTTCTACTGCATAACGGTTGAGCTTTTTAGCAGTCACAGAGCATCGAGAAACATTATTTGTCGAACATGATGACATTTCGATTTTGTCTTGAACTGCATCAAGTCTAATGGCCAATCTGAAGAAAAACAATTGAATAGGAACAGTTATTTCCGCCCCAACACCAATAATGCTTCCCTTTCTCTGCTAAGCAGTAATGCTATCAGGGATCAGTGTTTTATTGTCCGTTAGCCGTGAAACAAAGCTGTACGCTCAAATAGCAATAAAGCTGAGGCAGTAATATGTTTTGAAACTGTGGTTACCTTTGTAATTATAGAGTCAAGCAGCCCTGTGTGCACTATACAAATATATCAGGCCATTTCCCTGATTAAGAAATCATCTCTAGTCAGCAGAAGTGGAGGAATGTGGACATATATTTTGCCATTAAGTGACTCAAGCTAGATTTGTATACAGTCTGCATCAAGGGTGTTCTGCTCTATCCTGAGAGCAAGTGTTCACATAATAATATCTTGACCATGTCTAATGTCAGATTTCTCTCCATCTCAGGTGAAATGTGACCAATACTGGCCAACGAGAGGGACAGAGACATATGGCCTCATTCAAGTGACACTGCTAGACACAGTAGAGCTGGCTACATACTGTGTCAGGACATTTGCACTTTTTAAAGTAAGGAAAACGTGGACTATCCTCGACCCCGCAACAGTATTTAACGTGTGTCAATGTTAGTCACTTACCTCTCTCCTCCCTCCATATTCAGAATGGCTCCAGCGAGAAGAGAGAGGTGCGGCAATTCCAGTTCACGGCCTGGCCGGACCACGGGGTACCAGAGCACCCCACCCCGTTCCTGGCCTTCCTGAGACGGGTGAAAGCTTGCAATCCTCCAGATGCAGGGCCCATGGTGGTACACTGCAGGTAAGAAAACAACATGGTTTCACGAAAACATCCTGAAGCATGAAATTGATTTTGTTCTCTCCATTTGCTGTAATGAATATATGAATACATATGACAAGATGCAATACATTGAGGGTTATTAAGATGGTTATATCAGGGTTATAGTGTATGGACGTAGTGTTGTTTTTTAAAATGTGAACCAGAAGGAAAAATATTGTCTCAGGAGGACTATTTTTCAGGGAGTTAACTGTAAACCCAAACAAATCTGCCTGCTTGCTTTCACAGAAGGCACTATAAATGAGAAGGTGTTTTCGACATGATAGCACAAAGAGTACAAGTGTCATTGCCCTCAGCAAACTTAAACATCTCCTCCCACACACTGACACACAGACTCTCGCAGACCTGTCGTGTTCCCTGCTCCACGGCTAACATGTCGCACATCAGCAGCCCACAAAGTCCTCAGCTTATCCCCCGGGTTATTGCATCTGAAACAAATAACTTTCACTTTCACGCCAACTTCACTTCCCAGAGCTACATAAAGCGGCCAGACTCCCTACAGAGAGGCACGAGGATATAATAACACAGACTTCTGGCTCCTCTCAACAGGAAAGTCATCAGAGGCTCAGCACGGAGAGCGCAAGTGACTGAAGGGAGAAAAAGAGGGGGGAAAGAAGCCAGAGAGACATGAAGCAACAGCGATAGTGAATGTAATAGATACAAAGTTGTTTAAGAAAGTGACAAAAAAAGAGATGAGGGATTACTGAAGAATTAGAATTACCACATGCAGAAGTTAATTAGAGCTTGTTGCCGAATGGCTTCAAATTGAAAATCCAGACTTTTTATTTTTACAATGAAGCAGAAAGCAGGAATTAATGTCACTGTGCAGATGGGTGTTTTTTTTAAATCCTCTGGCTCCCTATCAGATGGAGCCATTTCCAAGCTCCAAATCCCTTGAAAAGCATCCTTTTCACTACATGTTTGACCATCATTTTAAACAGCGACATCTTCTACATTTGCATACTCCCATAATAATGTTCGGAGCCATTTGTGGTTGAGCATAAAGGTACGAGATAAAGACATTCAGCGCTGTAGAATTTTGCTGAAAGTGTTTATGTGTATGCAATACGGCCTTAAATAAAGGCTTAAAAGGAAAGAAACATTTGTTGCACAAAATTACAAGCATGGCACTGTATCTTGGGCTTTGTATTAATTAGTTGGTGCAGCAAACGTAGCAGCTTACCACCTTTCTGTGCGCCGAAGCTCCTTCTTAAGAGACTATGACAACATGAAATTAACAACCAAGAGTTTTGAATTTACCTGTTAAAATATGAGTGTAAAAGCTGGAACGCTAACTACAAACTGTTTCCCTGTGCTATAAATTACTAATATGACAATCTACCTAAACTGACATTAGACACTGTAGAACAGAGATTGTTAGATAGAACAAGAAGATCAGTTTATCCACAAAGACTGGGATTTTTCCACTGAAAAACAATTGTCTCATAAAATAACTGACAAAACATATTTCAGAATTCCCCTAACTACTCCTGTGTCTCACGTGTTGCTTAAACTCCACAATAAGTCATGTGATGAATGCGAGACAGCATTTTGATTGCACAGATGTTAGTAAAATTAGTGGTCAACCACTTCTTCCTAGACTGAAGCTTGAGGACATGATGACCGTCTCATGTTACTGTGTATCCAATTTCTTCAACCTTCATCATGTCAAATACATTTTACCCTGCCATCACATTTAAAAATGGGGTTTTGCACTTTTGATTGTGCTTATTTAAATAACCACAAATTATGCTGCAAGAGCCGAGGTTTGATTCTATATATTGTTTGATATGTCTCAGATTATTTTAAGTCAGACAGTCTCTTACTGTGACTCAATTCATGAAGAAAGCGCCTTTAAGTTTTCTTCAAGCGCAAAAGAGACATCTAACTCAAAACAGCCTAATCATACATATCTAATTAACGGTCAAAAATAATGTTCTTTATTCTTTCACATTCTTTCAACAAAGGCAACTTTAAATCATAGAACATCTTGTGAAATCTGCTTCCCACAAACGTAGAACGTTTCCTGCCCTCCTGGTTCCTGCTGTTTTCACTAACCCACAGGTCAGGGACTGTTTTGCTCTTCTAGCTTAAAGAGAACCCAGGCGTTGTGAGGTGATGGAAGAGGTCAAAAGTACATGATTGAATGTCATGGAGATCACTGGCCTCTCCCAGTGACGCGGAAGGGAAACTTTTGATATAACAGCCCACACTTTTAAAAGAGTTTTGATTGACAACTTTAACATAGTACTATTTTTTGTTCTTGTCTCTAGTTATTTTCACTAACTAACTAACGAACTGAGCATTAGTTAGCCTAATGTCCAACAAGCGATACAGCAGCAAAGTAACTTGTTTTAACAAACAGTGAAATAACAGCCGTTATTTTCATACAGGAAAGGGATGACTCAGGCGCACTGCTCCAAAACTCCACCTCCCTGTCATCATAGTTGCGTGCAAGGGGAACATTCAATCTGTTATGGAAAGTCACAATGGACAGAAATGGCAGCCAACACTGTCTTGTGGTTAGTGCAAAAAGTGTCAGAAACTTACAAAGTGCAGTAAGCGGGCAAAGTCTGTTTTAAAGAACAGAATGTCGTACCTCAAAGTTGGAAACAAAAGACTGTTTTGATTTACTTTCCCAGTTTTAGCAAGTAATTTTAGCCTCATACAAAAGGGCTTAAGACATTATTGACTATTAACAGCAATGCAGGGATCCTGGTGAGTTTGAGTTCATGTGCTAGTGTTCAAAAGTCAGTGTGAGGAAACAGTGACAGGTTAGCTGACAGCACAAGATTTGGTAACAATACATGTGTAATTGCTTTCACTGCTGCACATGCTTTATCTTTTTGGGACTCATTGCAGCTGTATTTTACAGGGCACTCTCCTTCCACCATCCCTTATTCCCTAAACTCCTGGAAAGCATATTAATCTGACACTAAATGTGTGTCCAAGTCCAAAGCAGCTGGTCTTGACTGGCTGAAAAGGCAGTGTCAGGTCATTAGTGCAGTCAGTCTGCCAGCTCCCCTTCAACTGCCAAATGAAGCGACGGCTTTCTGCACCACCTCATGCAACCAGACTCACATACAAACTTGTGCTTCTGGTCCAATAATTCAAGTTTTCTAAACCTTTCCTTTAGGAAAAATTGTGGTTAAAATGTTTTCTTTCTGTTTACCCTTTTGGAAAACTAGCTTTCACAAATACTTTTCATCTATTTTTGCGTAACACAACTCTACCCTCTGTCCTTACCCGCTTCCCCCATTCCTCATCTTCCTCTGTTTCCATCTCTCTTGCTCAACGCTGTCATTCTGTCACTTACTCTCTCGCAGGTCATTACTCTCCCACATACAAGTTTGCACTGTAAAATGTTTTCAGATTGGAAACAGCTGGGGTAAAGGGAAAATCGCGCTAGTTACTGCATCCCTTGCCCAAGGGCTGAGGTGTTCTTGGACCTGGAAGTGATTAATTCTTCAAATATCCATGAGGCACTTTTCTTTGCAGGCTGCCTCTGACTCCTATTGCAAATTCTGTTATCACCCAAGAGCTGTGAAGGGTTTTGTAAAAGAAAGAAAATGGTTGTCAGCCATTTTGGAAGTGATCATGAGATAATTTGTTAAAGCCAATGACTCCCATATGTGTCTTTATTCCATTTGCAGCACAGTTCCAGTGCAGCATGGCACATTAACCAGACTAAGCCCCCGGGGACTAACTTTACTCCCTCTTGAGTTTCCCCTTCTCAACACCCGCAAGTTCCTCTGAGAAAATGAAAAACAAATGCTCCATCAGAAGTACGAGAGCACGAGAGCATGGCTCTCACCTCATAGGCATGTCAGCTTAATGGATTGAATAACCTATTTACTTTGGAGTGCCAAGTGCAAGGACTTGTCTTGTCAATGCTGTGCTTTGAGGGTAAGGTGGGAGGAGAGTTAACAAAGAAGATTTAACATCATCATTTTGCCCAACGGTACACAAACTGTCATCAGAAAGCACATTAGGTGCTGAGGCATGCACAGTTAAAACATCTGATGTGCAAGGGTTACAATTCTTAAAGAGTGTCAGCAGTCTGCAAAAAAGGAGACCTCATTTGGCATGTCTCAAACTCATGATCAAGAAAAAAGGTTCAAGAGAAACAGTAAAACATGTTCCCTCCCTGTTGGGTTGCTTTTTTTCCAGTGGTAAATTATTTGTATTAACATAAAAATGTGTCAATGTAAATCTTAATGAAGATACCTGCCTTTCAGTGCCTCTTTAAAAACTCAAATAGCATTTAGGTGCACTATGCTAATCTAATGGCATAAATTGAAGTCAGCTGCTCTTATCGGAGGTTGCCCAGCACATTCACAAAGTCCTCAAAAAATATACTCTCACTATTGCATCCGTGTAGCTGCATTACTGTGCACATTGTTGTAGAGGCACTTTTTGGGACCATGAGATAAAGGTTAAATGTTGCTGTTGCGTAAGTGATTAGTCCTGATGGGTTGGAGAGCACAGGTGGGGTTTTGGAGGGTGAGAGACTAGATTGCAAAGCCAGCAGTGAGCCCGCTGAAGGCTGGGACTGCCTAGCCCTCTTCTCCACAAAGTGCCACTTCAGATTTAATTACACTCTAAGCCAAATAGTCCATCCTACAGTGGCAAACTTGGCACAGAGAGTTTATCTCATCACTATAGGAGAAAGCAAGTTCTTCAAACCCCTAAAAAAGTTTACAAAAGAAGGCACTTCTTCCATTGGACTGTACATAATTTTTGATCACTTAGATTTGTCGGTAGTTTCTTCCATTTTCTTGAAAAGTTACACCTGTATCACCCAGTAACATTCTTCCTTCTTTATCTTGTTGCTGACAACAGTGCTGGAGTGGGACGCACAGGCTGCTTCATCGTGATTGATGCCATGATGGAACGCATCAAACACGAGAAGACTGTGGACATCTATGGGCATGTGACGCTAATGCGTGCCCAGCGCAACTACATGGTGCAGACAGAGGACCAGTATGTCTTCATACATGACGCGCTCCAGGAGGCCGTCAACTGCGGCACCACCGAAGTGCCGGCCAGAAACCTATACGCCTACATCCAGAAACTGACGCAGATAGAAGGTGGAGAGAATGTCACCGGCATGGAACTTGAGTTCAAGGTACAAAAGGTTTACTTACAAAGAAGAACATGAAGAATTCACATGGTTCAGGTTAATCTGAATATCGTTGACTATTGGTTTCCAACCTGGGGTCTAGCTCTCAGGGGGGGGGTGTGATGCTAGGTCTGTTCTGAGGTTGTCAAAATAAGATTTGCATGTTAACCAAAATCATGATAACACACTTACTGAACAGTTTATAGAAAGGTATTTTGTTAAGAACTGTGGGCCTATTCTTTTGGGATTTTATCGATTAAAACATTTAACACTGTTGTATGTTTTTGACAGGAATGTATTGCTTTTTTCGTGTGGGTCCTGTGGGGCCTTAACTTTTCTTACATACAAGCCAGGGGTTCCAAGGAAAAATGTTTGGGAAACGCTGACAATATCTGTCCAAGAGCTGTTAAAAAACTAGTCTAACGCAGTAGTCATTTACAGATATCTCATTGGTACCCCATGTTCCAAGTCACATCCAGGCCTTGGTGTCACCAATTGGCCTTTCTCTGTACAACTTCTTTTCCAGTTCCCATTAAGCCCACCAGACAGCAAGGGGCCTGTGGTTTCCTCTCTATACAGTTAGTTGACTCGCTTGTGAAACTCAACATAGTATAAATTTCCCCATTCTGGTTTCCCCTTCCTTGGGGTACAGGGGTCTTGGTTTACATGAAAACGCCAAACTAAGGTTTTCCCCGCCACTGAACATTTGCCAGAGGGACTTGTAGTCTGCATTCACAATGATAGGCTCATTGAACCTTGTGAAACCCCCTTGCAATCTGTGGTGTTGCTGTATGCATGGTTTTGCCTTGCTTGTCACACACCTTCCTTCTTGCAATGTGATGGATGCCGATTCCACGAAGAGACGATAAACAGGTTAGATTATAGTGCATTTCTGTCCACTCCAGGCTCACCTGGGAATCCATTTTCCTGTCTGTTCATTGTAAAGTGCAATTTCTTTTCCCCCATGCAATGGCAAGCTGTGATGGTAATCACTTTGATGCCATTTCCATACTTGAAGGTTACATGAAATATGACCACATTGCACTATGGGTCATTATAGTGTAGATTTCAAAACGGAATATGTGCAAGTTATCGTTTTGGATTTCTTTCTACAAGTGGTAAAGAAACCAAAGACATGCAATTGTTCATAGGATTCAACTCTTGAGTGTCAACCCAGTCTGTGACTACAGTGATAAATGATCATCCAAGTCAGTTTTCATTCCCTGGGACCAGTACACTCAAATGATCTCTTTTTCTGTGTCATGCAGCGTTTAGCTAACACTAAAGCCCATACATCACGATTCATCAGTGCCAATCTCCCCTGCAACAAGTTCAAGAACCGCCTTGTTAACATAATGCCATACGAGTCCACGCGAGTGTGTCTTCAGCCCATTCGAGGAGTTGAGGGCTCTGACTACATCAATGCCAGTTTCATTGATGGGTACAGGTAGGTGCTTATATAGTCACACTCTCAAACCATCTGAAAATCAGATGGTCAGTGCATAAATTCAGACTTCAAAATGTCTTGGCATTACATAGGAACATTTCAAATACAAATGTAACATTAACTGGAAGCTCGTTCAAAAGGCCAAATACAGTGTCATGTTTTTTCAGTCATAAAAAATATGGTCCTTTCTGTATCTTATAATATTCACAGTGAAAGTAATAATGTTTGGTTCATGCTGATTGTATGAAGGCTGATCCATCATGTGATTAATGCTTTCCCACAGGCAACAGAAAGCCTATATTGCCACACAGGGACCACTGGCAGAGACCACAGAGGACTTCTGGAGAATGCTCTGGGAGCACAACTCCACTATTGTTGTTATGCTAACCAAGCTTAGAGAAATGGGCCGGGTATGCATACTCTTGATTCTTTTCCCCAATTTTTTTTGGCATGTTCCCCTCCTTAGTCTTGCTACAGAAAACAAAAAGACATATAACACAGCAGTTTATATGGAATACCATACAAAGATTTGGCCGTGAAAATATAGGCTCTCAAGAAGTTTGAATTGTATTAAAAATTCTGGGAATGAAAACAATGAAGTCTAGTGTATGAAGAGAATGTTGTGGTTCAATGTGGTATTCTATTTTTTACTCACTACAGGAAAAATGCCATCAGTACTGGCCAGCAGAGAGATCGGCCAGATACCAGTATTTTGTGGTGGACCCAATGGCCGAGTATAACATGCCCCAGTATATCCTGAGAGAGTTCAAAGTGACTGATGCCAGGGTAAGCAGACATTGTTTCATAGAACAAAGTTTAAAGTTCAAATTTTGACATTGCGGGAATGGCTTTCTAAATCCAGCACTATTGTTTTACAGTTTAGTCTAGTATATTGTTTTTCTGTCTGGATTGTTGCCTAACCATTGGTCATTGAGACACTGAATGGGTCATGAGGGGTTCAGGAATTAAATAAAAACTTTCATCTGGTTTATATGTTTTACAACTTAAATTGCAATTTGCATATATTTATTTACCAAGAAGAATATTTCAATGACTATGTTGAACTTGCTGGATGGTGAATACTGACTAGATTCAGTGCAGTCATCTTTAGCTCAAAATGTTGGCATTGTATCAAGTATTTGTTTATACCAAAGTATGGCCTTAAGTGTAACATAATCATAAGTATATTTGTAAGAATTATGACACATGTCAATGTGTAAAAAAACAAATGTTGTGCCGGCAGCAGCGAGCTGCCAGAGTTTTAATTCCATCAAAGGCTTACGCAGATAAATGGCGCAGGCTCCCTCCTTTGTAGTGCATGTTACACTGTCTCGTCAATGGGATTGCTCTTCTTATCAAGGGGATACAATATCACTTAAGTAATGCACACCCTCAAAGTCGATTCTCCGAGCACCCTGTCGAGGGTAACACATCAAAGGATTTAATATCTTTAGTGTTCATGTTTAATACGCTCAGGTAAAATGGCAGGCATCTTGGATGACAAAACATGTTCTCTGATGCTTTAAACTTGGCGCCCATGCTAGATTTTTTTTAATAAGTCTGTCTTGCACTGTGGAACGCACAAACACGAGGAGAGGTATGATGGAGATGGTCTTAGAATCTATTTCCATGGGGTTTGCGGAATGTGAAATACTTGAGATTTTCCCTAGTTTTGTTTAATTAGTCTCTTATGCAGATGTTCCATATATCTGGCAGATGTTTTGTATAAACAGTTGGCGTTATACATTTTCTCTCTCTTTTGATTCATTGTTCTAAGGATGGGCAGTCACGAACAGTGAGGCAGTTTCAGTTCACAGACTGGCCTGAACAAGGAGTGCCAAAATCAGGAGAGGGCTTTATCGATTTCATTGGCCAAGTACATAAAACAAAGGAGCAGTTTGGCCAAGATGGGCCAATCTCGGTCCACTGTAGGTAAGTATTTAACAGGTATAACTTGTGAAACCATAACACTTGTATTTAGTAGAAAAAAATAAACTAAAAATCTCTCGAGCTTTATATTCTGTAAAACAATTGTGCATTGTTTTCAATTGCAAACAAACTTTTTCCTCCGCATCACGTTGACCTTCATGCCCTGTCTGTACAGCGCGGGTGTTGGTAGAACTGGAGTTTTCATCACCCTCAGCATTGTCTTGGAGCGAATGAGATATGAGGGCGTAGTAGACATCTTTCAGACAGTGAAAATGTTACGAACACAGAGACCAGCTATGGTGCAGACAGAGGTGAGTCGTAATTTCACCTTTGCTTTTTTTCTATACTTGCAAAGAAAGAATTACTCACAAACAGTATTGCAGATTTATGCGACTAAGATGGTTTTACCAATTGGATTATATACTTCAATTGAAAAATAAAGGTGTAGATATGATTTGATTATCATCTTTGACAAAACTGAACACCTTAGGCAAGCACCTGTGGAAGACATCAACAACAATCTAGGTTATCTGCTTCCAATTTTTCAGATAAACTCTGAACTTTTTTCCTCTTCTAACAACTACTTGTATTTTTCTTCAGATTTTGGATGCACTTGTGTAAAGAAAATAAAAGTGTTTCAGATTGTACCTTTCAGATAGAAAAAGTGTGTCAAGTTGAAGTATAAATTACAAGATCCCTGAGAGGGAATATGAGCTGAAGTTTTCTCTTCTCTGTCTCCAGGATCAGTACCAGTTCTGCTACAGAGCTGGTTTGGAGTACCTGGGAAGCTTTGATCACTATGCAACGTAAAAGACCCAGTATGAGAAGAAAAAAGCAGAGGGCCCTTTGGAAAGAATACCCAGTGAGCCTCTCTTCTGAGCCATAAATTCTTGCTTGAGAAAGTACTCCTTAACTCCTTGCTAACAACTCATTAAGTGTTGGATGTGCGACATGACTTGTCAAAAAATGAAAAAGATGATTCCCGGAGGACCAAGTATTTCCAAACCCTGATAAAACCTCACTTTGACTCAAAGCGAGGGAATCCTGACTGTTGGAGCATCATATGGAATTACTTTTTCTTTTGCTTCAAGGATTCATTTTGGGGCTCATAAAACTGAATGAAACCAACACAACAAAAAAGTAAATGAACAGTAATGACATCATCAGAAATGCATCAGTGATTATGAACCATTATGAGAGGCATTGGAGGCACACAGAACCGCAGGTGGGGGGGGGGGGGACTTGATGCACATTGTAAAGAAAAAAAAAAAGTCTATTTCACAATCAAGTACACACTGACAACCCATCGAAAAAGAAGACAATGCTTGGTCCACAACAGCAGGACAGACTTAAAGTAATAATGAATACATACCCCCCTTTTCCTGTCACAATGTTCATCATCGAAATTTTGGGAGAGGGTAAAGTTCAAATGATCTATAAAATAAATAAAAATTATTGATTTAGTTTTTTAGTACTTTATTATACAGCTGATGTGCTTTTTTTCAACTGTGTGAATTTCCTTTTTTTACACAAATGTCTCGCTTGAAAGAAAGTGATAAAACGTATTCAATGTTAATTTTTTTTAAAGCTGTAGAACTGTTCTGGTGTATGTGCTATTTTGCAGAGAATCTTTTCCCCTCTTTTTTTTTTTTTTTTTTTTTACTATCTTGCTCCCCACACTACCAAAATGTTGAGTTGATTCAAGAGATTTTTTTTTTTGGTCTTGATTTGTTTGTTTGTTTTTGTCCATAATCACATACTTGGTAACTTAAATACACCCATCAGATAAACTGGGGCTTTGTGGAATCAACAGGGATGAGCAAAGTATGAAGTTGCTGCTACCGATTATCTTAGTTCTTCCATGTAAGAAGTGTGATGAGAGGACCTAGTGAATTGGATATGATACATAAATATACAAATATATGGTACAGATTGTCAAATATATGTGAAAGATCTATAAAAGTATTAATTAAACATTCTAATTTTATTGACAAAGAAAATAATTTATGAGAATAAAAAGGTATAGAGTATTGCTTGTCTATGAAAGCTTCCAAATTGAAAGTTGTGTGCTATTGGGGAAATGATTTTTTTTTCACTGGAATGCACATCAGTAGGACAACATTGTATTCTGATTCAGTGCATCTTTTCTTGTGCAATAAATATGTGTATTTTTTAGATAGGGTTTTATGTGGATATGTCATTCACTCATGACATTGTTGTTCCCCACGTGAGGGAGGAAGTGGTGAGTGTGAATGTCGGATGCCAGTCAAAGCATCACTGGTGCATTTTTTATGTAAGCTCTCACACAGGTCTGTAGTTTAGAGACGGAGGGGTCACACAGCCGCAGTCACAGCTCCACACAATAGGGCAAGGTACAAAGACGTCACCTTCTTGTGGTTCTTAAAAAGCATTCAATGGTAAAGGTATTTTTTTTTTCCTTTTTTTGCATTTAGAGTGCCTTATATTTATGCCTGTTTTTACAATGTTTCATTTAACATATTAATGTATCCTTTGAGTAATCTAGGCATTTAGTGTAAATGTAACTGTATAGTTGATTTACCTGTAGTATTCATTTGTCACATGATGAGATTATATATGCAAATAAGAACATTTCAAAGCTCATATTTTTCATTTTCAGTGGCCTTATTGTGGCTGAGTGAAATAGAATTGAAAAGTTTATATATATTACTACAATCTACAGTCAAAAAGAAAATATATAAAAAGTTAACAGACATTTATCAAAACTCTTCAGACACAGAGCCAGGGATGAGATTGCAGAACATGTGTCTCAAAAATAAACAGTATGAAGTCTCGACGTAAAATTAACACGCTTTTACAATGGTATATATGTTCTGATTTTAAAACGGTTAATCAAACTAAAAATGGACTGGATGGAAAAATGTAAAAAAAAAAAAGAAAAAAGAAAAAAAAAAAGCCTAATGCACAGGTCATCACCGAAGGGGTTTCTTCTTCATGCCTTAGGTTTGAACAACAGGCTTCATATGTCACTAAAGAGAGGAGATATAGAGAAATACATTCTGCCAATATTGTTTCTGTTATCCTGACAATCCTAAACTGTGTCCTTTTGTTTTGAGGTTACAGGCAGAAACAGACAGTTTCAATGGTTGCGTTTCAGTCTTTATGTTGGGCAGCATCTTTACCTTCATCTCCCTCTTTGATGGCTTTGTGGATGTGCATTCCAGGTGCTTTCTTTCCCTTGTTAACTCAAGCAGCTGTGTGTTCGGTTTGTTCGTCGAATGCTTAACTGATTCTTTTTGTCATCATTTTGGGATATAAAAGTGCTATTATTTAACCTCATGGTGGCTAATCTTACGTTATGTCCAAGTCTCGGAAACATGTTTTTTTTTCTCATCTCAGTTTTAACTTTTTATTTCTAATTAATATTGATTTTTCATATGCATGGTGAAACGTTGCAGAACGGCCAGAGCTGGCCTGGTAGGAAGATTTGCACTTTCTCTATCTTTGTACTATGCACTGCCCTATTGATTCTAAACCCAATAATATATTACTTGAACCCATCTATAAAAAAGAAATCTCCTTAAACGTTCACTTTGTGTGTATGTAAATAACACAAAAAAGGTATCAACTCTTGAAAAAGACAAAAAAAAAAAAAAGTTTGTGGCGAAAAAGAGCATCCATTCTGATGCCATGGTTACTCCAGCAGATGACTTCAGAACAATTCTGTCCCCCGACCATCTGTTCTTGTGGCTTTGCCATTCAAGCTTGGAGTGTCATTAACAGAAATAAACGTTGTGTTCTCTGCTCTCTCTATCTATCTCTCGTCTGGATGCATAGACTGAAAATTAAATAATGAAATTGTAAAAAAAAAAAAATGGCTTGTTAAAAAGATCATACAATTACCTCTGATTAGTTGTAAGCGTAAACTGTTTCTTTTTCTGAATGAAAGGAGTGCTTTTTATTTTCTTACTTAGGTTACATTGGTGGCGAAAGACGTCTGTATGAAAATCAGTTTCTCTGCTGACACAAGTTCCATTTGTTATAAATGAATTCTATTAAAAAATGTCAGTGTTATGCATCGGCGTTTCACTTGTTTCCCTCCACCTCACTGTGACTCAAAAAGACTGATGGAGCTATTTTACCCCCTGCTGGTCTGGGTCCAACATATTATCCACAGTTCTGTCATGAAAGGGGAAACTGAGCCTCACCACATTTGAACAGATTTCCATCGCTCTGGTTTTCCTGTCACTGATGTCAGCGACAATGAATCATCAGAGGAACCTTTGATGGATTAAGTGTAATGTTTTTTGAAACTGCTCTGCTTTTAACATACACGTTCTTAACCCTAGCAATATGGCGTGTAGTGCTGTTTCAAATATTTAAGACCACACTTGTATTGAACTCAATGCCCCTGCATCATTTAAACACTCATGTTTAGCTTTGCTTCTCATTCATTGTGTTTTTATTGCTTTAACTCATAAAAGAAGAATGACACCAGTTAAGCCAGCAACCTTTGGGGGTTCGATCCCCAGCTCCTGCGGCCACATGTCCGATGTGTCCTTGAAAAAGACAATTAACCCCAAGTTACTCCTGCTGCTTCGTCAGCGGAGTATGATGTGTGTGAGTGGGATGAGTTACTTCTGATGGTCACTCTACATAGCAACCTCTGCCATCAGTGTGTGTCCGGAGTTTTCCATGAAAAGAAAGTCCAAAAGACTAGATCATATATTTATACTCTTGATACTATTCAAGCATCAACCTTTGTCAATATAAATCCCTTTCATTCAGATTTGAACTCCCCAAACCCCAAATGTAACTTAACAACTCAGCAGATCAAGAGACCACCAGGAAATAAGTCTCCAGATGAAAGCTTGAACAGGCAGCCTGTGCTAAAAGCTTGAGTATCACATTACCACAAATTCACAATTCCATATGACATGAAGGAAAATGTTCACAGATTGCTGGATGGCATGAGCAATTATTGCTTCATCTTGTTTCTGACAATTTGATGGAAATTGGCCAAAATGAATTTTTACATTTCTTGAGCAATCATTCCAACGCAGCTGTCTGCTTCAAACAAGACGAGAATACGACACAAAAAAAAAGAGGATCTCCTACTGTCATCAGCTTTGTTATTTTTCACCGGTTACTGCACTTCATATGTGTCGAGCAGATGTTCTGTCTCCGTCTCTCGGCGGCTTTTGCAGAATTATGAAACCAACCAGGCAGTCAAAACACTGCACACAAGTCATTTCTCATTTATTCCCCCTTTTCGCCCCTTTAAAACGACAGCTTGCCTCGCTCCCCGGGTGCTTCATTTTCTACATCCTAAATTTGACAAAACATGTCCAAATGGAGGATGGGGAGGGGTGCGGCATTGTTGTGAGCAGTGAGTGGGATTCAAGAAGGAGACACTTCTTTTTATTCTCTCAATTTGGAAAGAACTGTCTGTACCCAATTGTACTGCGGCAAAAATAATTACATAACTATGTTTCAAAGAATTTAATTATATTGGTACTTTACTTTGATCAAGTAGTCTGACACTCAGTACCCACCACCCACTGTGTTCCTAATGCTCCATCCCTGTGTTGATAAACAATCACCTGTTAGCACTTCAAACTCATGTATCAGGCGGTGACTAATTTCCATTCTGACAAATAAGACACTGTTGGCTGTTGTGTGTTCTGCATGCCTCCATCCTTAGTCTACAATACTGTAATTATATTTAATTCTGCAGGTGCACTTTAGGCAAAAAAAAACAAACAAACACACCTTTCAAGAAATAGAAAAAAACCTGCAGGAACAAATGATTACGTGTTTTCTTTTTGCTAAATGATTTGTTGGAAGGAAACAAAGTGTACCGAGCTGTTGTGAAAGTTACATCTTCAACAGTGAAGAAGATCCTCTCTGCAGTGACAGTTCAAACAAACCCATTATTATCCACAAATATTACAGTCACTGGCCTTTTACCATCAAACCTCCCTTTAAAGAGGTAATTAACAATATTTCACACTACCAGAAGCGTGCACATGCAATATAACTTTTTATGAGTGCCTACAGTACACAGTTCAGTTCTGATGTCTTTGTTCTGAAAAAGAAATCATTTATGATGTAATGACATGTAAAACAGGAGTTCACTCCTTTTTTGCTCTGGAGGACTTCTTCAGAACCTTCCAGGTAAATTCATGCACCGCTTCAACTTTCACATATGTTCTTAATGAGTAACTAGACTGTGTTGCTCTTTGATTTGTTTTCCCACATCGTGTTCATGTGTCACAGTTGCTTTTTAATATATGGCTGCATTCAAATATTCACAAGTGCGCAGTCTTTTCAAAAACCTCCAACAAGCAGTAAAGGTACCATAGCTTTAGAATCCCTGTAATACAAGACAGTGGCGCTGGCAGCATCCTATTTCATAGTGCGCACAGGGAACCATCCATCTGAGGGTACAGATCATCGTCTAGATTCCAATATGTGGTCCAGTAAGTGAGCGAGCCAGCGAGGAGAGAGATCGATCGATTCAAGTTTTTTTCCCCCCAACTTAATGTAAAAGTCTGATGAACCTCGTCTATTTTTAGAGGCCGGCCAGAGTGCCTGAAAAGCATCAACCAGCTACAAGTGGATAAACTCACATTATATTTACAAACTACTACATTGAAGATAGTCCAGAATATGTGTAAAGTGTATTTAGTCACAATTTCTCAAGCATAGCAGCAGAAGAGATGAAAATAAGAATAATTATCTAGTGTCAAAACATATCTGGCAGCACAAACATTCAAAATCCCAGAAGACGAAAAGGGATTAAACGGCTTTCTTACCCGTTTCAAGTTAATTCAACATCTGTTCATCAACTGTTTTTTTTGATGTAAACAGTTGACATCCCTGTAAACAGCTCTGTCAGTGGACACATGCCGGTGCCAATGACACAAGATCTCCACTTTTATTTCTCACACTCTCCCATATTTCCTAGACTGTCACAGTGACTTTCTCTCATTCATAATCTCCTCACAAGTTTTTTGTTTCAAACACACTTGCACTTCCAGCAAAAATTTGTAAAATGTGATCCTATTTAGAATCCTTTGATGTAACATCTTGTTGTGAGACAACAGGAGAGGGCCTCGTTTCATCTTTAAGCCCATTTCAACTGCTTTCTTTAAATAGCCTCTTCCACAGCCTCGAAAATAACTACACAGAATGGTGAAATGAATATCAAGCAACGCATCCGTGACCTGAAAATGAGATCTAGTTTAGTTTCAGTTTTAATAGGTTTGCAGTTAAAGAGTTTACGATGTGAACTTTCAGCATTGATTTTCATGGACTTGTTCAGGGCAGATCTCAAACCGTTGTCATTGTTTCACTGTCACAGCTGGCTGCCAGAAAAGCTAATATTAAAATGGAGCGCTAAACAGCTGGGTAAACAGACACTGCACTTCCTGGATTCTTGAACGGACTTTAAGGCACAATGCAGAACAACTGGAGCGAACGTCGGCTGCAAACGGACAGCTATGGGTCTGCGAGCACTAAAAACCCAGTGGGCTCTTCCTGGTAAAATATTGAGAGGCTGTCGGCAGCAGGGAGGCAGGCAAAGTGCCCTGCAACCGCCTGATGATGATGATCCATATGGGGATCCTCAATCGAGCGAGCTCCCGGTTCAACGATGACGAACTCAGATAAGAGCTGACGCTGCTGCCAACGCTACATTGACTTTGTCTGCAACATCACATTAGAGGCAAGTCAGACGCAAAAGGAGGGTTTGACCTTTAAACATGACAGCGACAACGCTGGGAAGGAAACAAAGACTTAGACAAAAGGCTGCTAAAAGAATGCAGTTATCAGAGTGATTATGCACATTAGTGTTTGGAGTGTCCCTTATAAGCAGCTAGCTTCTTGTAAACGGGTTAGAGAGAGGGTTTCTAACTGAGTGAACAAGAAAAACAAAAGGGGCAGAAAATAGGGAGAAAATAATTGATGAAAATAAAGAGGGACTTCAGTAAAAAAAGGTTGAATGGTTGAAAGGAATCAGGAGAGATAGTGAGAGAGAGCTGGGGAGAGATTTAGCAGAGCCAACAGTTGCCGCAGTGTACAAAACCTCTGAAGGTTAATTTCTCCGGCTCAGCATCATGCCAATATTCCCGCGATCAGAACCTCTGTAGGCCGGCCATCTGCTTCCCCTTCCCTCTCTGCCGCTGTGCTCCGCTTTCCTAGCTGCTGGCTACATCTGGGAGTGGACACGCATCAGGGCACTTTTAGGAGCGAATCTCTGAATGTGGACGTGAGGTAGGGGTAGGGTTATTTGTTTTCCATTTTCTTCCATGCTATCTAGTTGCTGCTTAGATGATGAAATGATGTTTTAGTTTGCTTTAGAAAATGCTTCTTTAATCAATAAATCCATGTATTAATACAGTAATAAACAGGCAGATTACTGAACAAAGGGTACAACCAAACACTCATCACTAATGTTAGTGCAAAAACTGCAATAAATGACTCTCCCCATTATTGATTTATTTGTCGAATTATTTTAATTGTTACTTGATTGTCTCTTTAAATGGCAGCTAAAAGCAAAAGAAAATTGAGTGCATGATTGTGTTTTGAAATGTTTTGTTAGACAGTCTAAAACAAAGACATAGCAATCTACCATAAAGCTTTATATCATTTCAGTATATTATCTTCATCGTCTTTATTATTATTATAATGATTATAAGTCTAACCAATCTAGAATATGTTTAAATTATGAAGCCGGAACCTGAAGAGTTTGTCTTTTTTATTACAAACATTTTTATCATATAATGTGGATTCACAAACTGTTCAGCTCCAGTTATGTTACATATTAATGTTACTTTCACTTGTGAGTGAGCCTACACAGAGGCAAAGTGGTGAACAGAAAGTGTTCCTTTGCCTCTAAATTGTTTTATGTTTTTAAAAAAAGAACTCCACGTGAATTTCTGATGGTGGACTGGGACCGAAGTTATTTCCTCACCTAACCTGAAATATAACCCCCATAATCCCCAGTGACCTGACAAACAAAAGAAATACATACAACATATAGGCTTGCTGAAGTCAATTGGAAGTTCACA